GTACCTACACTAGCAACAGGCAACTGAGCAAGACTAGCACCTAAGCTAACAACACCAGAGTAAACAGAGTCAGAAACACTAGAGTCAACAACAACATACATAGCATGAGGAGCACTAATCAGATCAACTAACTGCTCAGCAGACATGCCCCACAGAGCGGAGCCGTAGCGCTGAACCAGAGGAAGCCAGTCAGGAGCAGGACCGCCAACCCCGTAGGTCAACCGGACCGTGTCAGTGAGCTGAGCAAAGCACTGACCAGGGGGGTGAAAGCGGCCACAAGGGTGGCCCCGACGAGGACCTGTCTGAACCTGGTAGGGGCAGGGAGGGTAAGCCGCACCGCGCTGGGGCTGACGCAGCCCCGACCCCGGAGCCAGCTGCTGACGCTGCTGCTGCTGAGGCTGCTGGGAGGAAAGGGGCTGCTGCTGCTGCTGAAGGTGCTGCTGACGCTGAGCCTGGTACCACGCCGCTGCTCCACCTAGCGGGGCCGGCAGTACAGGAGGCGACTGACAAGCTCGGGGGTCGCCGCCACCAGCAGGTGCAGTGGAGTCACCAGCCGCTGCACGAGGGGTCTCTCCAGACGCTGCACTCCCACCACCGCCAGTCGCAACAGCACCCCCACTACCTCCGCTACCTCCGCCTCCACCTCCACCAGAACCACCTTTCTTGCCCCCCCTGCCGCGGGACCGCGACGCAGTCGTAACAGCAGCCGCAGTCGCGTCAGTAGCGGCAGTGGCAAGAGAGGCAGTGAAGTTGGGTAACTGCGGGACTGTGCACCCGTGGAAGAGTGGGGGGGACACAGTACCAGAGGCGGCAGCTACCGAACGAAGGTTGCTCTCGACGTCCTTGAGTGCAGACTCAAGGACCTCGATAGTCAGCTCACTAGGGTGCTTCAGCAGAAGCGCGTCACGAACGGAGGCAAGGCGGTCAGGGAGGCTAGTGGCGATGAAATAGACAGTGATCGCCATGGGGGGAGGAAGCAGTGCAAGCTGTGCCTCAGTGCAAGCAGCGCGGTAACTAGCGTCGAGCGAGCGGAGGTGAGCGATCAAGTCAGCAGAGCGCTCAAACGAGGCAAGATCAGGAAACAGGAACGGGAGGAAAAGACGGCCAAGAGAGACAGTAGCGGGAGTAGAGTAGCGGGCCTTAATCGCAGTGAGGTACGCAGCAGCGGTGCGAACCTGAGTAAAGTGGACCTCCTCAGACTCAGGGAGGAGGCTGCTGAGTGCGATGCAGGCCGCAGCGTCACGCGACGTCCAAGCCGTCCGGTCAGCGCGCTGACGGGCAAAGCGAGCCGTAGCAGCGTCGTCAGGAGCAGGGCCTAAAGCTGTAGGCTCGGGGGGCTCGGGGAGGTCACCAGTAGCGTGTGACCAGAGGGTCTCGCCCCCCTGGACCTGACTCTCTAACAGGCGGCGAGCGCGAAGAAGCCAGACGGAAAAGTCAAGTGGTCTACCGTCAGCGTGGAAACGAAGAACTCGCGGAGTCGCCATAGTGAGAACTAAAACGAACGAACAGGCGAGTAAGAACCGGGGGGGAAGAGGACTCAGTTGCAGCGGAAGAGCGGGCTAGGGCGACGGGCCAGGACGTAGGGAGGGCAACGGGCCAGAGCCTAGGGTAGGGCGACGGGCCAGGGCCTAGGGTAGGGCGACTGGCCAGGGCTTAGGGTAGGGCGACGGGCCAGGGTTTAGGGAGGGCGACGGGCCAGGGCCTAGGGTAGGGCGACGGGCCAGGGCCTAGGGTAGGGCGACGGGCCAGGGCGTAGGGCAGGGCGACGCGACGGGGGAAAGGGCGGGAGCGACGCGACGGGGCAGGGCGACGCGACGGCACAGGGCGACGCGACGGGGCAGGGCGGCGCGACGGGGCAGGGCGACGGGACGGGACAGGGCGACGGGACGGGGCAGGGCGACGCGACGGGGCAGGGCTGCGCGACGGGGCAGGGCGACGCGACGGGGCAGGGCGACGCGACGGGGTAGGGTGACGCGACGGGACAGGGCGACGGGACGGGGGGGGAACAGGCGGGCACGACGCGACGGGGGGAACGGGCGCGACGCGACGGGGGGGAAAGGGCGTGACGCGACGGGGGGAAAGGGCGCGACGCGACGGGGAGAAAGGGCGCTAAGCGACGGGGGAAAGGGCGCTAGGCTCGGTACTAGGCGCGGTAACAACGGAACTGGTACGAACGAGAGGTAGGATCAGGCTCGGGAGGTACGAACGGAGAACGGAGGAACGGGATCCCACAGGATCCTAACCTAGCTGATACCATGTTAAAATGAGGAATGAATGGTTCCATTGATGTTGGTTGGGGTACATATAACAAACCCTAACTTCTGTACCCCCTAAGACAAACCTCACTACAGGCTACAACATTTGACATAGTACGCACCCACCTGGCTGTGCCCATCTGTCGCGCAGGGTCGCGGTACATTGGTTGTTTGTGACATAACATTTGGCAAATTTACAGGCGCGACTCGGGAAAACGGGGATTGAGACACAAGTGTCCCCGCAGGAATGTACCCTTAGTTTATAATAATAAGTAGTGTTTTCGTAGTACTAATGTTGAAGTCGCCCTGTCAGCAGATTGATCTTCGGAAGTATGAAGCCCCGGGACTCTCAGAACTTCCGTAGAAACACTTCATCAGGGTTCTGAAAATTGTTACACTGTGGCCTAAGGGTAAATTTCTTGAAACTATGGAAAACCCTGATGAAAAAGACTTTTCCCAGGGGGTCACACTGATAATCAGGGTTTTGCGTAGGTGCAGGACTGATGATAGATGTCAGACAGAACGTGGTTATCAGATGCCCTTGGTGCCTAATTAGTGCAAAGCAGTACTAGCATTCTTGCCCCGCACTGGCAGGCCCGATCCGTGAAGCAATAGTGTGTTGCGTAAGTAGAGCTGCTTCTTGAACCTTGATATTCTGAGCTGATGGACCTGATATCTTTAAATGCAAGGCAGAACGAACTTTATAACTCCTGGTGTGACTGTTTCAGTCACAGATGGACTGCCTCACTAAACTTGAGATGTGTATTGGTGGGCCAAGAAGGAAACAATGGGCATTGCACGATGTCCCACACAGCATCTTAGGGACACTGCGCTCACTGTGAGTCACCGATAGAGACCAACTCCACTTCGAATTCAATTATTTGCTCAGCCAGAGGATGGTTTGCATCAATCACAACGAAGTCCTTGCCAACCTGCAATAAAGAATAAAGCAACTCCTTGTCATACGGTACTCACAAAAACTCTGTCAATTTGGTCTGTGGAAAATGGTAACTATGGGCTGGTGGAAGAAATAACTCACCTCTAGAATCTCAGCAGGGCCGCCGTTCGCAAGCATAACGACAGCTCCCGCTTTGAGCTCTCCTCCTTGCTCTTTCGTGAGTCTCTGAATCTCCTCATGGTCCTTGGGTACTCGGAAGATCATTTCATCTGTCTTCGCCATTGGTGCTGACTGTACAGTGCGGCTTTGGCCAACAGCCAATCCTTTCACTGCCTCGTCAAAACCCTGTTGTCACGCAAACAAAGAATAACCTGAGTATCCTCCGAATGTGACTGCCTACATGCTGGACCTTAGAAGATGGTTCACTCATTGTCACCTTGAAGAGAGGATTGCCAACGAAGTTCCCAGCACCGACCTCAAAGGTCAAAACGTCATCATCACCAGATGCATGAAGCACCTGCGTTTGTTACACAGCCATGGTGAGGCTCTGGTGAAAGTGTTGGAAATAACATACTGCGATAAGGGAAATTGGAACGAGCTTGAGCACGAACCTCACCATCCAGTGTCTTGCACACGAATTTCACATTCACCATGTCTCCCTCCCGTGCTACCGTTTCGCCTGGCACAGATGTTATGCGCGGGGCAAACGGGAATGCCAAACCGTAGCTTATAAGCAACCAGTCAGAGAGGCCAATTCTTCACTCTCCAGTTTTCGACTGCACATCATCTTAAGTGTATCATTTGAACCCCGAATTGAACAGATTTTCACTCTAGCTTGTAAAGCTGCGTACTTTGGATACAGGCGTTCGGTCATAGTTTGGATTCGGGCATTTGGTTGGGTTCTACTCACTGCCGTCGCAAAAAGATGCCCTCGCGCCAGTGCTCCTCCTCAACATTGTTCTGACAGCTCGAGGCTGAGCCTGAAGTGGTGCTGTCCATGCAGCATGCCTGCTAACGCAACAGCTGGACTGAATGCTTCGCAAGCTTATCCTAGAAGAAGCAACTAGCACCATAGAAGCTTGGCATTGCAAGGTTGCCATGATGACGATCACGAGCTAGAAGAGCTGATCAGAGGTTCTCAGTCAGGGCAACCGAAAACGCTATCCTGCAACGTCACAGGACAGGGAACGTTTCTGGCAGTGCTAGTGAATATGCTGACAATTGCTAACAGAGAATTTGAGGAATGCATGTGGGCTTCGATTCCATCTGCGAAAGTGAACATTGAAGGTGATTCGCCAGGGACAGAGAGACGAGTGTACTTTTACAGCTTGTTTAGAGGGGATGCTGTAAATCGGCCAGGTGTAACAAACGGCACGATATTACTCCACACGAATAATCGTACGGTGTTTGCTTGATCACTCGCGGTCTTGTGAAGACGTGGCAAAGGCTAAAACGCTGATTCTTTCCATCTGCTGATTGCTGCCAGGCAGGCGTTCGTTAGTGCCATTACCAGTTTCGTCAGTGTACATGACTTTCGCAAGCTTCCCCCATTTCCTATCTCGAGGCAACCTCTTCGGGAATAGCGAAGCAAAAGTTGCAGGGGTGTCTGCTGTAAATTTCCAGCTAATCTGCCAACATATTCCAAGCATGAGTGAAAGGCGCTGTAATCTTTACACGTAGGAGACATTTTACAGGAGTCATTCTCACGGACTATGGTGCGCTGCTGTGGATAGGGCGCAACAACGACACCAGTATCCCGACTTCTCGCGCATTTCATTGGTTGCTACTGCGGTCCTAAACACCGTGCCTCACATTCTCGCTCGACCTCCGTTACGATGGCGACAACCATGATCAATGCCGTCTCGTTTCCAGCCGCTCCTCCCGCACAGCTGGCGCGCAGCGGTGGCGTTCGGCTGAGCAGCCACGCTACTTTCAGCCGAACGCCATCAAGGTTCATTTTATCGCGCAAGGCTATTCGATCCAGCCGTAGGACCAATCAGAGCATTTTAGTATCATCAGCGTCCTCTAACGCTGCAGACATCACTGGTCGACCCGGCGACAGCCAGGCAAGCAGCGATTCAACTTCCGCGTCCCCACCGACCCATGAAGACGGACCTTCCCCTGCGCCTGCAGCGGAGTCGCCACCTCCGTCAGCGTCCTCAGCGTCGTCAACTCCGTCAATTCCGTCAGCTCCGTCAGCGTCGTCAACTCCGTCAGCTCCGCCATCGAAGCCGTCGTCGCTGCTTGGTCTGGTCCTGTCCGCGGGGCCGCCGGGGTCGTGGGACAGCAGCGGCGTGGGGAAGGCCGTCGTGCGCCGCTTCGCGAGCGATAACGAGGAGCGCTGGTTCATGTGGTACGAGGGGTGGACCCATGATGACACGTCAGCAGAGACGGGCGGCGATGGTACAAATGGAAATCAGGAAGGGGAGGATTCCACGGTTCCGCCTGTTTCCGTTCCCCCTGTCTCCCGCGCGCGGACCGGGGTGGCGGTTTCCGCCAACGGGCTGCACTGGAGCCGGGGAAGCGGTGTGGCGGAAACTGACGCCAAGGGACGTGGGGGGCCAGGAATGGTCCTTCAGCCCAGCGCCAACTGGTGGAACTTCGACACACGTCACGTCAGCGTGTCTGACGTCATGATGATGTCATCGCAGAAAGTCCGCGCCAGCGGCGGCGTCCTGTGGATGTTCTACGTCGGGGGAAACGCGGAGGAACTCCCCATCCCCGCGCGGATCCTCCCCCTGCTCCCCCCGCGCCTCGCCCCCGCTACAGTCACACCACCCACCGGAGCACCGTCCGCCGCACGTGACTTTACCGAGGGGGAGGTCGTCGAGGGGCTTCGGACGCGCATCGGCCTCGCGATGAGTCACGACGGGCGGAACTGGGCGCGCATCGAGGGGGATCACCACAGCGGCGCGGCGCTGGACGTGGGCGCGGAGGGCGAGTGGGACGAGTTATTCCATGGCGCGCCGCAGATCGTGTTTCACGAAGCCGGGGATATCCGGCTCTTCTATCACTCCCTCGATCGATCCGCCAAGGGGGATAAGACGAGCGACAAGGGGGACAAGGCGAGCGAAGGGAAGTTCCGGGTGGGGTTTGCCCGCTCGCGCGACGGGCTGAAGTGGGTTAAATTCGGGCCGGTGTTTTCTGGGAGCAACGGGGAATTCGCGTTTGACGCGCTCGGGGTGACGTCGCGGTATGTGCTGCGCGACCCGCGGGCGTCAGCAGGGGGAAGCGGAGGGGGAGGCGCAGCGGGGAAAGGCGGGAAGGAGGATGCGCGCAAGTACGTGATGCTGTATGAAGGCGTCGCCGCGGACGGATCGACGGCCATAGGACTCGCTGAGTCAGAGGATGGGATGAGCGGATGGAAATGCCTGGGACCTATTTTTGAGCCAGCCAGGGGAGCCCGGGGGAAGGCGGAAGGGGAGGGAGATGGGAGCGGAGCCGGGAAGAGCGGGAGGGAATCGGGCCCGTGGGATTCGTGGTCGGTGGGATCGCCGTGTTTGGTGGATCTGGGCGGTGGGCATCTACGACTGTACTATGTGGGGTCGGATGGGCGGGGGTTTCAAGGCGTTGGGGCAGCTGAGTCGCTGGATGGGAGCTTTGAGTTCGAGCGGTGTGCCAATCTCGAGGCTCTTTTGTAGGGTCACAGTGGCTTTGGCGGGTGGTGCAAGGAAAAGGCTCTCTTGCTGTTTTAGCCAATGAGGTAGCACATACAGTACCTTGCAGTGCGTGGTGAGAAGTTAAATCATCAGGAGGAGAGCATTTGTTGAACGAACATATCTACCACCAGATTTTAGCAGTCCTGCAAATGCAGCTAAGCTAAAGGTAGTCGGTGCAATCACAAGGTTCAGTAGAGGTGAAACAGTTTGGGGGTAGTGCCAGCATTCGTCTATGCAGGATACCTACTGCTGGCTCTACCTTGGCGTTTCTGTGTCTGTTCCGTGGATCAGAGCCAATGCATGCGGTAGCAGCAGATGGAACATATACTCTACACAAGGCATTTCAGCGCAGCAAACCACGCGCCTGTGAAGCAGCAAGATCCAAGTATGTAGCCTACCCTACACAGCATGGTAATATGCCAAATGAAAGCTTAACACTACGAGATCAGAGCAAGAGGCATGCTCAAGCAGCTGCAGCTATCAGCCCGACCCAAACCAGGCTACAAAATAAAAAGGTTCACTTACTGTCACCAACCCTCAACAGCTAGAGCAGGATTGCAATCGCAACAACAGCAACAGTTGCCAGCAGAGCAGCACGGGACCCGTGCAGTGCTGCAGTTGCTGCTGCTCCTTTACCACCCCCAGCATTGCTACTCCCAGAGCCAGCACCAGTGTCAGTGCCGGTGGTGGTGGCGGCGGTGGCAGTGGCGGTGGCAGTGCCAGCGGTAGTGGTGGTGTTGGTGGTGCAATTGGTGGGTGGTGCAAGTGGGTCTGGGGTGGTGCTGATGGGGACTGAGATGCTCTCTGAAGGGATGTCGGCGAGAGAGAGCGCGGTACTGTGGAACACATGGGTGCATGGGAATAAGGGCACATGGGAATATGGGAACATGGGAATATGGGAACATGGGAACATGGGAACATGGGAACATGGGAATATGGGAATATGGGAATATGGGAACATGGGAAATTGGGAATGTGAACACACGGGAGCATGAGAATATGGGAAGATGGCAAGATGGGTACAGAGGCATATGAACACAGGCACTGGATCAGCTAACGGGCAGGAGAAAAAACTTACGCGCTCGGGCAGCCGTGCAGCACAGTGAGGGGCTGGCTCTGCCCGTAGGTGATGTTGCACTTGGAGAACCCCAGCTTCACCCTCTCCCTGTCGGTACCCTGATGGCAGGAGGGGGAGGTGAGGAGAGGAGGGGGGCAGAGAGGGCTATTGAGGTGACTCAATAGAGGAGCTGGCTCTGCCCGTAGGTGATGTTGCACTCGGAGAACCCCAGCTTCACCCTCTCCCTGTCGGTACCCTGGTGAGGGGATGGGGAGGAGAGGAGCGGCTACAGAGAGGGGGAGGGGAGGAGAGGATGGGGGATAGAGAGCGGGATGGCAGGTGGGGGGAGGGGAGGAGAAGGGGCATGGGTTGAGTATGGGGTTCACATAAGGGCAGATACACGAGGTATGGTTTGGTGTTGTTGGTGATGCTGCGAAGCTAGTAAGAACCATGTGACAGTAAATCTGTGTTGAGATGTCTCAAAACAAACTGACGTTCTACATAGGAGCCCGTACCCAAGGTCTGCTTAGGTAATAAAAGGGAGTCTTTGAGACATGTCAAAAACATGGGAGCGCAGCGCATACCCAAGGTATGGTTCGGGTTCTTTATGATGCTCCAAAGCTAGTGAGAACCACTGAGCCTAATGAGAGCATGTCGAGCCTAGCGAGAACGCACCGAGCCTAGCAAGAACGCACCGAGCCTAGCAAGAACGCACCGAGCCTAGCAAGAACGCACCAAGCCTAGCAAGAACGCACCGAGCCTAGCGAGAACGCACCGAGCCTAGCAAGAACACACCGAGCCTAGCAAGAACGCACCGAGCCTAGCAAGAACGCACCGAGCCTAGCAAGAACGCACCGAGCCTTTCAAGACCCCACCGAGCCTAGCAAGAACGGACCGAGCCTTTCAAGACCCCACCGAGCCTAGCAAGAACCTACCGGGCCACAGACGGCAAAACTCATGAGCTTGGGGCTGGCAGGGTCCAGGTTGAGTTTTCCCTCAGATATGTCGGCACACATGGCCACACATGAGCGCATCTCTGCAGTTCAGGCACACACAACACACAGTGGTGGCAGAGATTGGGGGGGGAGACACAGGGATTGAGAGGTGCAGGGTCCAGGTTGAGCTTTCCCTCGGATATGCTGGCACACATGGCCACACATGAGCGCATCTCTGCCGTTACAACACGCAGGAGTCAGGGTGAGAGGCATGGTTGTCAAAATATGTTAGTATATATTTTATATAACTGCTTGTAGTTTAGAACAGTGTAGTTATATTGTTCATTGTTTGGTGGTGCACCCTTGTTTCTTGCCTATATCTTGTACTCAACTCTTTTAATGGAAACCCCTTTTGACCAAACTCTTGCTCCCAGTCTTCTCAATATGATCCTTGCCTCTCGTTCTACCCTAGTTCCTAAGTCCTAGTTAATCTCGTTATATGACAATGGTGTTGCAACAGGGGGAGAGGCATGGCATTGAGTGTTCCTTGGGCAAGAAAAAGCAGATAGGCTGAGAGAGAGAGAGAGAGAGAGAGAGAGAGAGAGAGAGAGAGAGAGAGAGAGAGAGAGAGAGAGAGAGAGAGAGAGAGAGAGAGAGAGAGAGACGACGATTCACAGAGGGTATGCAGAGCACATCCAAAAAGGGCACTACACAAATGGCTTCACCTCGCCTGTTCTTATCTGTGAAAGGGCCTCACCTCGTTTGTCAGTATGTGCCAGACGGCCTCACCTCGCTTGTCAGTATGTGCCACACGGCCTCACCTCGCTTGTCAGTATATGCCAGACGGCCTCACCTCGCTTGTCTCTATAAGCTGGGTAGTAGAGAAGGAAGCTGATGCACATCTCCTCGTTGCTGGCCTCTCCTCCCATTGTCACCTGTGGGGTGGCATGGCATGGCATGGCATGGCATGGCAAGTGATAATGGCACAGGGCAGAGTGTTTGAGTCGACTCTAAAGTCACCTCGGGTAGTAGAGAAGGAAGCTGATGCACATCTCCTCCTTGCTGGCCTCGCCCCCCATTGTCACCTGTGGGGTGGCATGGCATGGCATGGGGTGGAATGGCATGGGCGTGAGATGGCATGGGGGGCGTGAGATGGCATGGTGTGCGTGAGATGGCATGGGGTGCGTGAGATGGCATGGCATGTGACTGTGTCGGATGGGATGGGATGGGATGGTAAGGCATGAAAAAGGGCAGGAGCCTAAAGTAAAAGTATATGAGCTGCCGGAAAACAATGCAGTCACTGCTGTTCACTGCCCACCACCGCTCATTACCACCATGGCTTACGTTGGAGCGGGAGGTGGAGTCCCACACACACTTGGTGCGCAGCTCATCCCCCGGCTGTAGCTGGAAGGGCGGCTGCACGTTGATCATCTGCTGTGATGCAAAGTCACTGGGAAAAGGGAGAGAGAGAGAGAGAGAGAGAGAGAGAGAGAGAGAGAGAGAGAGAGAGAGAGAGAGAGAGAGAGAGAGAGAGAGAGAGAGAGAAGATGATATGTTAGGACACCTAATGAATAGGCCTCTGGGTGCAGCTGGAAGGGCGGCTGCACGTCCTCAAAGGGGAGGTGCCTGAAAGGGCGGGTGCCTAAAAATTAGAGCTCTGGCTGTAGCTCTGGCTGCAAGTCTGGCTGTAGGTGTGGCTGTAGGTGAAAGGGCGGGTGCACATGGATCATCTATCTGCTCATCTGCTGTGAGGCCAAGTCACTGTGGGGGGAAGAGCGAGGATAGGAGGGAGGAGAGGAGAGAAGAAATGATTCGAGAAGAAAAGAGATAAGATGGTAGTTGAAAGGAAAAGAAAGACGATGAAAGAGAGTATGAGTGGAGCGAGGGGAGAAGACGTGTGAAGCGAGGGGTGAAGGGCGGGCGGGAGGGGTGAAGGGCGGGAGGGGTGAAGGGCGGGAGGGGTGAAGGGCGGGAGGGGTGAAGGGCGGGAGGGGTGAAGGGCGGGAGAGGTGAAGGGCGGGAGGGGTGAAGGGCGGGAGAGGTGAAGGGCGGGAGGGGTGAAGGGCGGGAGAGGTGAAGGGCGGGAGGGGTGAAGGGCGGGAGAGGTGAAGGGCGGGAGAGGTGAAGGGCGGGAGGGGTGAAGGGCGGGAGAGGTGAAGGGCGGGAGAGGTGAAGGGCGGGAGGGGTGAAGGGCGGGAGAGGTGAAGGGCGGGAGGGGTGAAGGGCGGGAGAGGTGAAGGGCGGGAGAGGTGAAGGGCGGGAGAGGTGAAGGGCGTGAGGGGTGAAGGGCGGGAGGACACTCACTAGTAGTCGAGGCGAGCGAGTGCTTGTCATGAAGAAGAGCAGCAGTAGGAGGGGACAACACGAAGATATACACAGGGGACAACACGAAGATATACACAGGGGACAACACGAAGATATACACAGGGGACAACACGAAGATATACACAGGGGACAACACGAAGATATACACAGGGGACAACACGAAGATATACTCAGGGGACAACACGAAGATATACACAGGGGACAACACGAAGATATACTCAGGGGACAACACGAAGATATACTCAGGGGACAACACGAAGATATACACAGGGGACAACACGAAGATATACTCAGGGGACAACACGAAGATATACACAGGGGACAACACGAAGATATACTCAGGGGACAACACGAAGATATACTCAGGGGACAACACGAAGATATACACAGGGGACAACACGAAGATATACACAGGGGACAACACGAAGATATACACAGGGGACAACACGAAGATATACACAGGGGACAACACGAAGATATACACAGGGGACAACACGAAGATATACACAGGGGACAACACGAAGATATACACAGGGGACAACACGAAGATATACACAGGGGACAACACGAAGATATACACAGGGGACAACACGAAGATATACACAGGGGACAACACGAAGATATACACAGGGGACAACACGAAGATATACACAGGGGACAACACGAGGATATACACAGGGGACAACACGAAGATATACTCAGGGGACAACACGAAGATATACACAGGGGACAACACGAAGATATACACAGGGGACAACACGAAGATATACTCAGGGGACAACACGAAGATATACACAGGGGACAACACGAAGATATACACAGGGGACAACACGAAGATATACACAGGGGACAACACGAAGATATACACAGGGGACAACACGAAGATATACTCAGGGGACAACACGAAGATATACACAGGGGACAACACGAAGATATACACAGGGGACAACACGAAGATATACACAGGGGACAACACGAAGATATACACAGGGGACAACACAAAGATATACACAGGGGACAACACGAAGATATACTCAGGGGACAACACGAAGATATACACAGGGGACAACACGAAGATTTACACAGGGGACAACACGAAGATATACACAGGGGACAACACGAAGATATACACAGGGGACAACACGAAGATATACACAGGGGACAACACGAAGATATACACAGGGGACAACACAAAGATATACACAGGGGACAACACGAAGATATACTCAGGGGACAACACGAAGATATACACAGGGGACAACACGAAGATATACACAGGGGACAACACGAAGATATACACAGGGGACAACACGAAGATATACACAGGGGACAACACGAAGATATACACAGGGGACAACACGAAGATATACTCAGGGGACAACACGAAGATATACACAGGGGACAACACGAAGATATACACAGGGGACAACACGAAGATATACTCAGGGGACAACACGAAGATATACACAGGGGACAACACGAAGATATACACAGGGGACAACACGAAGATATACACAGGGGACAACACGAAGATATACACAGGGGACAACACGAGGATATACACAGGGGACAACACGAAGATATACTGAGGGGACAACACGAAGATATACACAGGGGACAACACGAAGATATACACAGGGGACAACACGAAGATATACACAGGGGACAACACGAAGATATACACAGGGGACAACACGAAGATATACACAGGGGACAACACGAAGATATACTCAGGGGACAACACGAAGATATACACAGGGGACAACACGAAGATATACTCAGGGGACAACACGAAGATATACTCAGGGGACAACACGAAGATATACACAGGGGACAACACGAAGATATACTCAGGGGACAACACGAAGATATACACAGGGGACAACACGAAGATATACTCAGGGGACAACACGAAGATATACTCAGGGGACAACACGAAGATATACACAGGGGACAACACGAAGATATACACAGGGGACAACACGAAGATATACACAGGGGACAACACGAAGATATACACAGGGGACAACACGAAGATATACACAGGGGACAACACGAAGATATACACAGGGGACAACACGAAGATATACACAGGGGACAACACGAAGATATACACAGGGGACAACACGAAGATATACACAGGGGACAACACGAAGATATACACAGGGGACAACACGAAGATATACACAGGGGACAACACGAAGATATACACAGGGGACAACACGAAGATATACTCAGGGGACAACACGAAGATATACACAGGGGACAACACGAAGATATACACAGGGGACAACACGAAGATATACTCAGGGGACAACACGAAGATATACACAGGGGACAACACGAAGATATACACAGGGGACAACACGAAGATATACACAGGGGACAACACGAAGATATACACAGGGGACAACACGAAGATATACTCAGGGGACAACACGAAGATATACACAGGGGACAACACGAAGATATACACAGGGGACAACACGAAGATATACACAGGGGACAACACGAAGATATACACAGGGGACAACACGAAGATATACACAGGGGACAACACGAAGATATACACAGGGGACAACACGAAGATATACTCAGGGGACAACACGAAGATATACACAGGGGACAACACGAAGATATACACAGGGGACAACACGAAGATATACTCAGGGGACAACACGAAGATATACACAGGGGACAACACGAAGATATACACAGGGGACAACACGAAGATATACACAGGGGACAACACGAAGATATACACAGGGGACAACACGAAGATATACTCAGGGGACAACACGAAGATATACACAGGGGACAACACGAAGATATACACAGGGGACAACACGAAGATATACACAGGGGACAACACGAAGATATACACAGGGGACAACACAAAGATATACACAGGGGACAACACGAAGATATACTCAGGGGACAACACGAAGATATACACAGGGGACAACACGAAGATTTACACAGGGGACAACACGAAGATATACACAGGGGACAACACGAAGATATACACAGGGGACAACACGAAGATATACACAGGGGACAACACGAAGATATACACAGGGGACAACACAAAGATATACACAGGGGACAACACGAAGATATACTCAGGGGACAACACGAAGATATACACAGGGGACAACACGAAGATATACACAGGGGACAACACGAAGATATACACAGGGGACAACACGAAGATATACACAGGGGACAACACGAAGATATACACAGGGGACAACACAAAGATATACACAGGGGACAACACGAAGATATACACAGGGGACAACACGAAGATATACACAGGGGACATCCCCTCCTACTGCTGCTCTTCTTCATGACAAGCACTGACCCGGGAGGACACTCACTAGTAGTCGAGGCGAGCGACTGTGGTGACCTTTTCGCCATCCCGATACACATCGGTATACATCTGATGGGTTGGTGAGAGGGGCAAGGGGTGTGGAGATGGGTTAAGAGTGGTGGTGAGGAGGTGAAAGAGGTGGTAAGTTTTCTAGTCGAATCAAAGGGCGACGGTGGTGACCTTTGCCCCATCCCGATACACATCGGTGAATATCTGATGAGATGGTGAGAGGAGTACAGTGTGGGCAGGTGGTGCGTGCATGCTGCTACCCGTGTGTGCCGCCACCCGTGTGTGCCGCCACCCGTGTGTGTGTTGATACCTGGCGGCCAAGCGCGTGTTGGTGCAGGGCGGCAGCAACTATGTTCACCGACTCATTCTTGAACACTGCCTTGGTGCACCGCCCCGGGCAGATGTTCTCCTGGGTCCACGACGGCTGCAGAGAAGGGCGAGGGGAAGAAGGGACGAGATGGGAAAAGAGAGAGGGGGGATGCGATGGGCCAAGAGTGGAACACTGCCTTGTGCACCGCCCCGGGCATAGCATATGTTCTCCTGCGTCCACGAGGGGTGCAGAGGGGGGAGGAAGAGGATGAAGGGGGGAACACCAGGGATGAGGGATGAGAGGGAGGGCATGAGAACACTGCCTTGGTGCACCGCCCCGGGCATAGCAGATGTTCTCCAGCGTCCACGAGGGGTGCAGAGGGGCGAGACGCAAGGAAGGAGAGGAGGCGCGGGGGATAAAAAGGACGCCGGGATGAGAGCAGGGACTGATACTGCCTTGGTGCATCGCCCGGGGCAAATGCTCTCCTGTGTCCACGAGGGCTGCAGATTAGGGGGAGGGGGAGAGGGAAGTGAAGAGGGAAGTGAAGAGGGAAGTGAAGAGGGAAGTGAAGAGAGCATGACAGGAGGTGGGTGGAAGCAGGCTTGGCCACTGCAGCTTTAGTAGAATCAGAAAAGGGTGTTACCTGACCTATCCAGGAGCTACCTGACCTATCCAGGTGCTACCTGACCTATCCAGGTGCTACCTGACCTATCCAGGTGCTACCTGACCTATCCAGGTGCTACCTGACCTGTCCAGGTGCTACCTGACCTATCCAGGTGCTACCTGACCTATCCAGGTGCTACCTGACCTATCCAGGTGCAGGTGCTACCTGACCTGTCCAGGTGTTACCTGGCCAGGTGGGATCTGCAGCAGCAGCCCGTAGTAGACCGGGCCAGCCATCATGATCCCTGCATCGTGCTTCCCTGGGGCAGAAGTTTCCAGGAAGATTCCGCTGTTGTCGACAATGTCAGAGCGGGCGTCGGGATTGGTGTAGTGGATCTGAAGGGGGAGGAGGAGAGGGAGATACAAGGGAGAAGGGGGATGAGAAGAGGGTTTGGTTGGGTCAAAATAGGGGGATTGGTTGGGTGAATCTAAAAAGAGAAAGGTGTAATGAATCTGGAAAATACGGGGGAGGAGAGGGATGAGAGAGGGGTTTGGTTGGGTCAGAATAGGGAAGGACGAGGAGATAAAGAGGGGATAGATGGGTGGGTAGTAGGGGAATACTGACTGACACAGGGAACGAACAATTAGGGTCTTGAACCAAGCTCCACAGAAGGTGTAGGGGCGTGTCGTGCATGCACCACACGGCACCGCACAGCACTTAACATGAACACAGTGCACCGCATGGCACCGCACTAACATTGCACCTGCAGCACGAACTTGGTGTAGTATCCGGGGCCGATGGGAAAGCCAACATCGCGGGGGAAGGAGTAGGGACGCGCCCCCAACCCCCACATGGCCACTGAGCACCGCACATCACCGCAGTGCACCGCGCAGCACCCACCTGCAGCACGAACTTGGTGTAGTATCCGGGGCCGATGGGAAAGCCAACATCGCGGGGGAAGGAGTAGGGACGCGCACCCAGCCCCCACATTGCCACGGTGTGGCCCTGACAGGGCGTTGACTCGTGCATGCAATCATACACGCCCTGTGTTGCCGGCACGTCCTTATATTCCTCCCTGCCATGGGAAAGGTAAGGGGTGGGGCGGGGTGGAGGGGAAGGAGTGGGAGGGGGAGCAGGCATGGGGGGAGCAGGCATGGGGGGAGCAGGCATGGGGGGAGCAGGCATGGGGGGAGCAGGCATGGGGGGAGCAGGCATGGGGGGGTGAGATGGGGGGGTTGGTTGAAGCGGGAAGGCGTAAGGACAGCCCCCAAGCCCCCACACCCCCACGGTGTGGCCCTGGCAGGGCGTTGCCTCGTGCGTGCACTCCTCATACACGCCCTGTGTTGCTGGCACGTCCTTATATTCCTCCCTGCCATGGGTAATGGGTGCGGGAGAGGGAAGTGAGGGGGGAATCTGAGGAATAGGAGCCAGCACCCAGCTGCAGGGTGCTGGCTGTGTGCCCCTGCAGCACCCAGCTGCAGGGTACTGGCTGTGTGCCCCTGCAGCACCCAGCTGCAGGGTGCTGGCTGTGTGCCCCTGCAGCACCCAGCTGCAGGGCGTTTTTGAGAATTCTCAAAAGCACCCTGCTGCACCCAGCTCCCACACTCCCACTGTGTGCCCCTGGCAGGGCGTTGACTCATGCATGCACTCTCACACGCCCTGTGTTGCCGCCGGCACATCCTTATGTCCCTCCCTGCCACTGGCAAAAGAGGAGGGGGGAGAGGACGGGAGAGGGACGAGAAGAGGGGGAGGGGACGGATGGGAAGTGGTGGGGACGGGAGGAATCACGGCGAATGACGAGGGGGGGACACGTGCGATGAGTGCAGGTGGGGAGAGAGAGGGGGATGAGGTGGTGGGAGAGAGGGGGGGGGGGGGGGGGGGAGGGCAGCGGAAGAGCAGCGCATGGTGCAGTCCCGAGGGCTATTGAGGCACAACAAGAGTCGTACGGAGGGGTAAAGGGGGAAGAAAGAGGGGAAGGTAGGGGGAGGGAGGGAGGGGGAGGTTTGGGAGGGGGGCAGCCGAAGAGCAGTGCGCAGTGCAGCAGGGAGGGAGGAGGGGGTTGAAAAGGTGAGGAGTGGTGTGGGGGGGGGGAACCACAGGTGCAAGACATGAGGAGCGGGACGGGATGTAGAGGAGGAAAGGAGAGAGACGTACAGGGGGCAGCCGAAGAGCAGTGCGTGGTGCAGCACGGAGGGCTATTGAGGCGCAACAAAAGTCGTACCGGGGGGGGGGGGGGGTAAGGGGGGAAGAAGGGGGTGGGAGGAGAGGGGGGAGGGGGGGGGGGACGTACAGGGGGCAGCCGAAGAGCAGTGCGTGATGCAGCACGGAGGGCAGCGACGAGTTGATTTGTATGCCGAATTGCGTGATGTGTCGCTTGGCGGTGAGTGGCAGGTCGAACGTCTGCCAGGAGGAGGGGGGGGAGAGGGAGAATGAAGAGGAGCGAAAGGAGGAGGGTTAGGGAGAGGAGGAAATGCAGGGTTAGGGAGAGAAGGAGGAAATGCAGAGCGGCAGGTCGAACGTCTGCCTGTGGTGGAGAGCGAGGGCGAGGGAAGAGAGGGACGGAGGGGGGGGGAGAGAGAAGAGAGGGAGGGAGAGGAAAGAGAGGGAGGGCGAGGAAACACAGGGAGGTGGGAGGGAGAGGAAACAGAGGGAGGGAGAGGGAAGGGGGAGCGGAGAGGGAGGGAGAGGGAGGAGAGGGAGGAGATGGAGGGAGAGGGAGGAGAGGGTGGGAGAGGGTGAGAGAGGGAGGGAGAGGGAGAAGAGGGAGAAGTAGGGTGAGGGCCTGAGGGAGGGACACACCTTGCACATGTAGGTGGTGTAGTTGGTGGAAACGCGGTGGTTCACCATCGTCAGGTTGAACCGCCCATCATCGCCCATCACCACGCCTTGCCCGTTCTTCTGCCCGTTCGCCTGCCCCTGGGCATATGCGGCGAGCTTGCCTGCTGACGTGATGGCAGGCCAGCTGGCAGCAGTGGATTGGGCGATGGTGGTGGGAGGGGTGGCCGGGTCGAGGATGGAGGGGCCAGGCGCGGGCAGCAGGACGAGCGAGGTGGCGCCACGTGTCGCGCTGTGATAGGCGAGCTCGTCGGTTGCGCCTGAAAGTGTGAGATATTATAGGGAGGTGTGAGGAGGGGAAAGTGAGTGAGAAGAATAGAGAGAAACACACACACATGCACACACACATACACACACACATACACAGGCCTCCACTCCCCATCCCTCTCACCCATCCCTCTCTCACACATCCCTCCCACCCATCCTCTCACCCATGCCTCTCAGTCCTCCCCCGCCCAACGCACCCATGGCCCAGATGACGAATGACAGCGCGCCAGCTGTGATGGGGCGGTCGTTGCAGTCGCCGGTGTCAAGCTGGCGCCACACGTGCACGGTGGTCCACGTGTCGCCCGTGGATTGATCCATGGTCTGGCTGCCGCCCAGCACGCGCCAGTCCTGCTGGTCGTCCAATGCGACGCCTTCCCCAGTCTTGTTGAAGACGAAGCGGTCCGTTGCATACACGCGCCCCTCGCGCTCCGCCACCCACGCTACCATTACATCTGGGAGTGAAAGAGAGAGTGAGGTGGAAAAAGGAAATGACTCTTGAGTCGACTTATAAGGCATCTCGGACCCATCTGTTGCATACACGCGCCCCTCGCACTCCGCACTCCGCCACCCACGCCACCATTACATCTGAGAGTGACAGAGAGAGAAGCAAAGAGAAAATGACTCCTAAGTCAAGCCAAAAGGCATCTCGAACCGATCCGTCGCGTATGGACGCCCCTCGCGCTCCGCCACCCACGCTACCATCACATCTGCGAGATGAGAGAAGCAGAAATATTGATCTTGAGACGACGCTACGGCCATCTCGAGCCGATCCGCTGCCTGCACGCGCACCTCGCGCTCCGCCACCCACGCCACCATTGTACAGAGAGGTTAACCAATGTTGCTCGCAGAGCGATCCCGAGAGAGAAACAAAGCGAAAATGTTTTTTGAGTCAACCCGGAAAGCATCTGTCGGACCGATCCCTCTTGCTCCGCCAACCATCGCATCTGAGAATGATAGAGAAAGAGAGGCGAAGAAAAGGTAGCATCGTTTGTTTATATTGAACCGCGTTAGGGTTCGTCGCGGATAGGGAAAAGCTCCGTGTGTTGACTCAGGTAACGAGCGCGCGGGGCGCGCGAACGAGCGGAGAGAAACGCGAGAAAATGCGAACGAGAAGGGAGAACGCGTAAAAATGCGAACAGACGGGGGAAACGGGCGCGGGGATCGAGCACGGGGAACGAACGCGAGGGATGAGCGCGGGGAATGAGCGCGGAGAACGAACGCGGGGAACGAACGCGGGGAACGAGCGTGGGAACGAACCAGAGCCGAACATTCCGCCGGATTCAGAAAGGCCTATTGCGAGCCATCCCGCCGTCTGCGCCCGCGCCGCGATGTGGATGGTCGCGTCGCTCGTGTTGGTGCTCCAATAGAGCTCGAAGCGCGGATCGAGCAGCGCCATGCTGGAGTAGGAAGAGAGCTCTGGCAGCGCAGCCGCGTCAGCGCCACCACCGAATGCGCCGCCGTTTGCGGAGAGACGGTGGGACGAGGAGAAGACGAGAATGAACGCGAAGAGGAGCGACAGATGGTGATGGAGGCTCTGCCGCGGCGTGCCGCGGAGAACGGCGCCGCTGGCCGCCATTCTCGTCGTAAAATCGTCCCTTCCGCGCGTGTCTCCGATAGCTTACACGCGTGGGTATCTCCAAGTCCCGTGGGCTACAGACGAATTTTGTAAGCGCCTCAAAAATCGTACTGCCCACGGCCGCGGCAAAGCTGCGATGCAGGCGAGGAAGATACTTCAGGTAATTGTGTGGGCGAGGGATTGGAGATGTGTTTGTGGGCTCAGGAAGCATATAAACGTTCAGTGCTTGTGGGTGCTTGTGGGTGCGTGAGATTCGAGTGGGTTTGGTTGGATTCAGTACAGACAGCCAGAAGACACTGTAATACTGGGCCAGCACCGACAGGGCCAGCGTCGTGGAAAGTACGACACCCTACTGGCGACGCGGAACCAACAAGCCTACATTCACCGGCCATTATCTCCGATTTTCAGATCTCGCCTGAGCGCGTTCTCAGGTGTAATCAGCCTGGACTTTCTCAACGTTGATTGGTCGTCGCTTTGTAGTCACATTTCTCACGCTGGTCGAACTCATTAGGAAGTGACAAAAACAAAACCATCCACTTACCCTCCCGACCTGGATACATGTACGGAAATTAAGGTATTAAGAGAATGAAGCCCATATAATTCACTTGGTAGTGCTCAGTAGCGCAACCGACCGCTAAATAACGCTACCGAAAGTACTAGACGACGCTAAAGAGACTTATTCGGGCATGGCAGAAAAAAATAAAACCCCTAGGGAACCTGGATGCATTTTCGAGAGGGGTCAACCCTGAACACGGAAATGGGCATTTTTTTTAGGTTTGATGCCTCCCCAGTCGCATCCGGGTATTATTTTTTTTGTCAAGTGGGTTACAATATGGTTTTCAAAATATTTGGAGGCTTTCGGTGTTTAGGGTTGATCCTTCCCGGAAAACATATAGGTTCGCTATGGGCATTATATTATTTTTTGCAAGTTGCTAGACTTCCTTTTTTGAAAGACTGTATACGAATATCAAGCACAATAGTTTTACACTATATCGAAAAACTGTGTGTCTGTTGGTGATTACACCTGAGAACGCGCTCAGGCGAAATCTGAGTATCGGAGATAATGGCCGCTACATTCACTGTGGGCTGCGACGGCATGCGAACGAGGAGAATCTCTCAACGATGTTCGCTGGGGATGATGAAATCGCAAATGTCGGTGGAGGAGCAAGTCGTAGATAGGACGGTGGATGAAGCCATTGGCTAGCGTAGCTGCGGTTCGGATCGGACATGACTCGCGTACATTGTCACACGCGTGATGTCCTTGCGGTCTTCAGGCCTTGCTGCTCTCGGCCACGAGGTTGGGGGGGCCCGCGGGCAGCTGAGGGGCCTGGGGCTTTCTTTGACTCCCCGATCCGACCGATCATCTTTCATCCCACTCAACTCCACTGCCCGTCATCAGAGTACACCCTTATTCTCGTTAGACTGGCATATGTTATACTCACAGAGACGCTTAGTGTAGCCGCAGCGGACCAAAGAAGGTCCAATCACGTGCGTTATACTGACAGTTTGACCCAGGGCGTTTAGTCAAGGTTCTATACGTTCTAAGATGGTACTGCTGTTTTCTATACGGTTAAGAAAGTTATTCAGCGTTAACGGAATTTTACGGCCCAAGTCTGGTTTCGTCGCCTCATGCGACTTGGCCCGCAACCGAGTTATCTCACCAGCCCGCTACGTCCAAACACTGTAGCCACTGCTTCCGCTGGTGAGAAGACTGAGAATAAGGGTGTACACACCGACGGGTTCTAGCACACAACAGTGTACTCAGGACCCACTCTTCCTTTAGGTGCTTGCTGTTCGGGGGGAGATGAGTTCAGTGGGAAAATAAGCTGGAAAGTAGGTTCGGAAGCCCAAAAATCGCGTGCGACCTCCGTCCTGATCAAACCTCACGGTTTGGAAACATCAACCTCAGCAAGCACTCATTATCGGCTCGAGACACCGATCTGCCGCCCATACCGCCCATTGACTGAACAGTAATGGAGGGCAATTTCTCACTGACTTTCCGCTCGCCGTTCTACCACAAGCGCAAGATGACTGAGGACGCGGCACCTCAAGCAATTTTGAAAACGTTGAAATCTTTCAATACCATTTTAAACTCCTAAAACATTCGATCCTGCGCAGGTTCGATCGCAGGTTCGGTGCTAGAGGTGCCGCGTCCTGATATTTTCCTGGGTACCTTAATGGACAGCATAGAGTGGTTTAGAATGGTTTAGAAAAAATCTTTAGAGTAGGGAAGGGAGCATGCATGGAATGTTCTGGAGGAGATGGTTGTGTTGGGGTAGCGCAATCTGTGATTTCGATCTCGTTGTGATTCTGCACGGACTACGTTGTCTTTTATGCTCAAAATACAGCGTTGACTATGCAAACCCTTGTCCGTCTCTCCAGCTGTCAAACTTGTACAGATTTTGGTCAACACTGCACAGTGTTCCACCTGGGTGTTTGTCCTTATGTAAACTAGGTTCGGTGCCATACCTACTACCATCTTTTCGCTCATCCTCATTTCTGGGGCTCCTGAACAGCGCCTCAAACAGGCCGAACTCTGTAAAACCACAACCAGTGCTTCTTTTCAAGTGTGCACTGGTTGCAGTGTGGCGTCGCTTTTGCCTTGTGACCAAACAGAAGTACAGCCTTGTACAGTAAAAGTAACCGACAAAAAACTATATGGCATGGGTGCTTCACACAGACACTCAGCCACCCACAAACTATCTGCCTTGTTTTGCACGTTTTTTCCCCACTCGTAAGCAGGAAGAACAACGGCCTTGTATTTTGATGTGGTTGTCACCACCAAGAAGTCTTTCGCTAATTTACTATGCCTATGGAAACTAGGCGAGACGGGGTAAGTAGGAAGGTTTGGCGCAACACCAGCATACAGTTTCGAGAAACGGCCAATGTCACAAAAAACGTTCGGCTAAGTGATATGTCAAAAACAAAGAAACAAAGATCATAAAGTCACAAAGTGTCGAGGCCGGGAAACGAGGAAACAAAGCTCCTCGTAACCTATATTTTAGAGGGGGGGTTACGGCGTGTGCAAAGTGCTGCATGTAGCTCGATGTCGAGCTACGTCGAGGTTGTTGGGCAAGGTAGGTGAGCTGAGGGGTGCCATTTCTGTGTTCAAAGTACGCTTCAAAAATTGCTGACGCCAGCATCGCCATTTGTACGGAAATGTGCAATGATGATGGACACAGAAACGGTCAACCAAAGAAAACTTGAGCGAATCTTTACAGTGTTTGCCAGACCACGTTAGACAAATTCACAGACTGGCATAAACTGTAATCTCGAACATTGCGAACATTTTCCATTTCGTGATGAGATGTTCGCAGCCAAAAGACGCTCTCGAAAAAACATTTGCGATTTCAGGTTTTGGTCCCAATTCAATTCTTCGACAATCTCAATTCAACTGTAACTATTAAGGCCGGCATTTGTCCTGAGCGAACAGTTCGTCGCCGGCAATGTGCTCAAAGTGTGCCATTCGACGTCTATCGACGTCAGAGGCTCCAAGTCACTCGACGTCGATCTTTAACGTCAAAACTGCGTCCAAACTACGTCGAAATACTTCGCACACGCCATTAGCAGATACGAGCTCTACTTGAGGAGTCGTTCGAGAGAAAGTTCCAACAATTCAATCCCTTGAACGATTCATCCACACGCGCCACATTTTCGAATACAATTCGCGAGAAGCAGAATAACCCCAATTGCGATTGCATCATCCTGTGGTGGAGGTCGTCCACTTCTGTAGCACATCCCTGCACCACGTCAAGCAGGCTACCAACTACACTCTACAAATCTTCACGTAAATTTGGAAAAATTGCCTGAAAAAGCTCCAGTAAATTAGCTCCAGATACTCTGCTCTAAGCTTACTCGAAATGAATTACGTAATCCAAGTTCCAATGCTAACACATCCAGCTGGCACACCCACCATATTCCTTGGATAATCTGATCCATGAATCGGAGCTTGGCCTGGAATCGGGCTCCAATGCGGGAGTGCAAGTTAAGGATGTCTTTTTTAAGATATGCACTTGTTCACTGCAGCATTTGGTACAAGATTATCCTCAACGAGTTGGGTCTCAGCTTTGCTTCCCTCGCGGTCACAATATCCACATGTATATCCTGTCCTCAATGAAGGTTTCGCAGAAGATTAGGCAGGGTGCAAGGCCTAAAAAACACGAGCAGTCGACCTAACAAATTCCACTAGACTACACTCAGCTACGAGGCAACCGGTGATAAAATTCTATCGCCGCGGGTTTTCTGCCGCAAATCCAGCGGATCGTCAATTTTCGCCCTCACTCTCGCTTTCACTTTCCCAAAGAAAAAGGGCATAGCTCGCGAGAGCATCTGAGTTGTCGGGTGATTCGCTCAACGCCTTCTGAAACAGATCCTCCGCCTGAGTCTTATTATGGAGCCGTTGCCACGAGAACTGCGCGAAGCTCGTCAAAAGCCGCACGTCGTAAGGCGATCTTCGCATGGCGTCACGGAAGTATTTCTCCGCAGTAACTGTCTCTACCCACACCTCGTTCACAAATTCCGCAAACTCCGTTGGAAAGTTCGGCCATCCTTTGCTGCTCGCAGCATTCTTCTCCAGACGTTGTCGAAACGCAACCGCCCTGCCCTCGATCTCCGCGCCATCTATAGCCGAGCAAGGACCCGCAGAAGCATGGCCATCCCTGCAGATTCTACCGGAATCGGTCGCCTCTGGCGACCACGGCTGTCTGAAGACGGGTCTGCACCCTCGGCTGTTGCACTCAACGAGACCCACTGACGCCTCTGCTAGGAAGAACGGCTCGTTCCACGCCATGCTGACATCGTTTTTCTCGAGTATGCTCATTGGAGAGCACGGTGAGTCGACAGCAAAGCGCGCGGCTTGAGAAGATCTTGGGCGCTCAGTAAAGGGCTCGGGTTCAAGAAACTTGGAAGACGTCGCAGCGGGTGTAGCGGTGGATGGGTAATGGTGTTTTTGGGAGCATCCCCAGCCGAGATGGCTCACCGGGGTTTTAGCAGATTCATTCACGGCGTCGCTGCAGGGAGATTTGCTGCTCGAGACCCGACATTGCCGTGACGACGACAGGGGGAAGGTGATAGGTGAGCGGATCTGAAGACCGATGGCTTTGGCGGACGCGCCCTCCATAGTCAATACTCAGGATGGATGTGGGCAGAAGGATGAGAAGAATCATGCACTGATGTGAGTCTTCCTGTGGCCTACTTGTGCTTCTTAGGAGGAAAGACAGAGACTTATGATGCCCAGTTGAAGCACACGGTCGGGAGAATGCCGGTGTCTAGTATCGATGGAGGACCATCATGAGCAGAGCAGACTGAAGGTTAGGTTTACAGTAGGACGAGACGAGACAGACTGCTGGAGCAGTAACTATGGGCTGTCTAATTCCAACAAATATCACAACAGACAGCAACAAGAACGAGGGAGAAGAAACGTACAATTTCTTGCAAGCACGCTGGACTGGCAGTCTGGCAGCCTAGCCCAGCAAGCCCAATCACGGCAATAAGCTGTTGATGGACGGACAGTCTGTTCTGCTGTGGCATCATTTCTACATCGCGCTGGCAGATCTCGAGTTTCCCGCCTCTTCTCCACCGTGGCCTTCCCGGGAACCCCTCGATCTTACCACTAGCATTGCTGACGTGGGACGCAGCCCGCCAGTGGGACGATTTGGACCACAGTCCTGGGAGGTGTTTAGGGGATACTTTGGGTGAAGGGAGTGCCAGCCATGCCCAGCATTGCAGGAGTGCGACCAAGTGGCCGCGCAAGTGTGAGGAGCTACGAGAACCACAAAGTTTTCCGCCAACGGAGTACGGAGCAGCTTGCGACGAATAGAATTGGCCCCAACGGCAAGGTTGTGGGAGAAAACATCCCGGGAAACCTGTGAGCAACCGCATAACTGCGGGCAGGCAGCTGTAAACACGTGGTGTCGAGCATGCTGCTGACATCACCATATTGTGGTGATGGGAGTGGATAAACTTTTTACTGCACTTTTGTCGATGGCTGTGGTGTACACTCGATAGCAAGGTCACTTTCATCGCGAAATGCCACTAGATGTGACACAATAACCCCAGATTTCACGAGAAGAAGTGGTGTGATGTGATAGCAACTAAACGTTTACGGTCAAAATTGCCTTAACGCTTTTTCCTGAACAGTTGCAGATATTCTTATGATTGTTTTCACGTGTTTTCTGACAAGAACGAGTGTATCTACTCGAGGCCAGCGACTGGCAGCTCATGGTTGCACTTACTTCTGCCTTGACATAGGCACCCAGTGCGTTAGCTTTACACTAGTTACAGATGTCCATAATCACAACTTCTCTTACAACGTAATGCGCAAACGAAATTATAAGTGGATCTTAAAGGCATCTAAATGCCATTCATATGCATATTCAAAGTAGGCACTGTTGGGAGGTAAGCGGAGCATTCAGAATATCATATTCCACATCCAGGAATTTGGGTCGCAACAATGGCCAGCTCTGGTGGCTTCTTTCTGCCTAGGCTTGCTTACCCGAGATCCTACGTGACCACTAGAAGGTTGTTTTCATGGCCGCTTGGTGTGTAAACGATGGCCCTGCGTGGATCAACCTTCCAATTTCCATCCACGATAAATTTGACCTGCGGTAGTAAAGGGACACAATTTTAAACAAGACCGTCACAATACAGGTGCATATATGCACATAGCAAGGCAACACTTGAGCTATGAGGCTTCCGAAGATTTTTTGTTTTTATTTTTTCGTGCAACTACATGAGGTATGCATGGTTCAATCCGTAATCCATTGCTCATTAATTGTTAAGGTTTTGGGAAAGGCGAGCTAGCATGCCTCCTATGCAATGGTGTAGCACGAGGTTAGTACCGCAAGGGCCGTAAAAGAGTTGGGTGACAATAATGTGCGTACCTCATACTGTCCAGGGTACAGATGAAGAGTTGTTACGAACACCCCCGCATTTGACTTGACCATCTTGATCTGCCATCCAGATTAAAATTAGAAATTCGCCGCAAGTGAAAACACTACTGAGAAACGAGGAGAAAAACAGCACTGACGACATGGACTAACAACCACCCATACGAACATGCCCAGAGTGCATATCGGTACCCCCCCCCCCCCCCCCCCCCCCCCCAAATTTCCAGAACGCGTTGATTGAATCATGGCGGCACGGAAAAGGGCAAAGGTTGTTCGTACCCCGTCGGTCCATGCATACCCGGTTGGTCCAGCCATTAGAGGAGCCAGTGAGAAGCACTTCATTGCCGGGGTTGGGCCACACCACTCGTGTGGGCCATGCATACCCGTTTGGTCCAGCCATTAGAGGAGCCAGTGAGAAGCACTTCATTGCCGGGGTTGGGCCACACCACTCGTGTGGACCATCCATACCCGGTTGACCCATCCATACCCGGTTGACCCATTTCATGCATACCTGGTTGACCCATTTCATGCATACCTGGTTGACCCATCCCATGCATACCGGGTTGACCCATCCATACCCGGTTGACCCATCCCATGCATACCTGGTTGATCCATCCATACCCAGTTGACCCATCCCATGCATACCCGGTTGGTCCATCCATTGAAGGAACCGGTGAGCAGCACTTCATTCCCGGGGTTGGGCCACACTACCCGAGTGGGCCTCAGCTGCACGTATGCCACCTGCAGCTCCCCCAGCTGCTGATCCTTCTCCTCCAACACGCGCCTCGTCTCCCTGCCAAGGAAAGATTGGGAGGGAACAGAGGTGGCAGAACACGGGAGGGAAGGGAGGGGAAGTTGTTGGGCCACACCACTCGAGTGGGGGTCAGCTGCACATGCACCACCTGCAGCTCCCCCAGCTGCTGATCCTTCTCCTCCAACACGCACCTTGTCTCCCTGAAACGAGGTCAGCATAGGGAGGAAAAGGAAAGGGAGGGCGTTTGGGACCACAGTACAATCAGAGTGCTATCCCGCCCTCCCTTTCCTTTCCTTTCCTTTCCTTTCCTTTCCATTCCCGCAGGCAGTGCATCCAAGTGCATCCTCAGCAGCTCATCTCTCCACTCCCGCACCCTTGACCTCTGCTCCCCCCTTTCCCTCACACCCCACCTCCACACCCACACGCACCTGAATCCCCCTCCACCTATCCCATTCTTCCCCTCACCTGAACTCCGCAGCGAATATGCCTTCGAGAGCAGACACCTCGGCGCGCATGGACCACAGCTCTGCTCGCGTGTGCACCATCTCACTCTCCATCTCAGCCCCCTTCAATCATTGGGACCCTCACACCCATCGCCCCAACACCCACCTGAATTCGGCAGCGAATCTGCCTTCCAGCGCAGAGACCTCGGCACGCGTGGAGCGCAGCTCGGCTCGCGTGCGCAGCATCTCACTCTCTCGGAACTCTAGTGAGTCTGTCAGCCGCAGCAGCTCGCCCATTGTGCGACTGCGCATCTGATCATGTTTTACGGGGGGGAGGCGCAGTGGTGTGGTGTGGTGGGGAAGGATAGAGCAGGGAAGGGAGTGGGTGGGAAGGTTGAGGCTAGGTGGAAAGAGCAGCACCTCACTCTCTCTGAACTCCAGTGAGTCTGTCAGCCGCAGCAGCTCGCCCAATGTGCGACTGAGCATCTGATCACATGGTGTGGAGTGGTGGAGAGAGGTGGGGGGAGAGGTAGAAGAACGAAGGAGAGCAGAAGCATCACGAAATTGTGTATGCTGAGAGGATGTGTGGGAGTTTTGAGACGTCTCAAGACTCATCACGAAATCGTATATGCTGCTGAGGATGTGTGGGTGGTGAGAGCAGAAGCAAAACAATCACAGCATGTTCTCGCTCTGATAAACATCAACCAACTGATCACTTACATCGTCCACCTCAGCACTGACCTGTTCCAGCTCAGCATCTCGCCGACTCAGCGCCTCCCTCCCCTGCCTCAGCGCCGCACGCGTGGCAGCCAGCGATTGCTCGAGAGATCGGATGCGCCCCGTCACGCCTGCCAGCTCATCCGGGTCGCGCCTGAGGAAGGCAGCAGCTGGGGGAGGCTCAACTGGCGAAGCAGGGGGAGGTGGTAACCGGAACTTGCGCACTGGAGGTGAGGAAGGTTCCTTGCTCTGTGGTCTGTTTTCTGATGGCCGTTGCGAGTCTGTTGGTGAACGCCCTGTCTTGTCTGCATCTGCCGCTGCTGCTGCTGCTGGAGGGGGTGGTGCTGGTGCCTCACGTGCTGCGTCTTCTTCTGCTGCCGCCCCCGCTGTGGTTCCTGGCACCTCTACAGCAGAAGAGGCGGAGCCGCGAGCCGAGGAGGAAGCGGATGGGGATGGGGGGAACGCACCCACAAGCCGTGACAGCACGGCTGCAGCTGAAGCAGACGCATCCTCATCATCAGTACCAACCCCTGGAAGATCAACAGCAGCAGACCCACCGCCAAGAGCATCAGTACCCACACTAGCAGCAGCGCCAGTCCCAGTGAAAGAATCAGCAGTGGGTGCATTAGCCCCATCAGCACCCATCCCTGCACTGCCTCTCCTCCCCACCTCACCCTCGCTCCCTTTCCTTCCCACCCTCCGCCTCCTCTTCCTCACGCCAGGTCCATCTGGGGAAGGTGCCACCTCGTCTTGAGCACCAACTGCTATCTGGGGAAGAGGTGGGGGAGGTGTTATCTGGGATTGAGGAGAAGAAGGCGCTATCTCAGCTTGGGGAGAGGGAGGCGTTATCTGGTCCTGTGAGGGCTCTTGAGCTGCACCACTCCCCGCAGCTGTCCCTACAGCTGTCCCTGAAGCAATCCCTGCAGCTGTGCCTGCCCCTGCACCAGTCCCTGCACCAGTCCCTGCAACAGCAGCTATGCTGCCAGCACCAGCCTCCAACCCCTCCAGCCTCTTTCTGAACGCCATCAGATTCGCCAGGCTGGCACTCAGTGCTGCATCAAAGCCGTCCAAATTCCCCACACTCCCCTCGATCACCCTCGCTCCCCCCACCCTCCCCTCTCCCACACTCCCCTCCCCCACTCTCCCTTCCAACACAATCCCTACCCCCACACCCCCATCACCCACTCTCCTCCTCTTCTCCTCCTCCTCTGCCTCCTCTCTGCTCCCCTTCTCCCCCTCATCCTTCCCCGTGGCCCCCTCAACGCCCCCTCCTCCAATGCTTAGCCCCACACCAGGCTCCTGTACTGCTCCCCTCCCTGCCTCCTCTGCTCGCCCCTGGTTTGCTGGAGGGTTCTTTCTAGGGCGACCAACTGGCCTCCGCGGCTGCAGGGGGGCGGAGAGCGAAAGGAGGGGGAAAGGAGGGATGGAGGGAAAGACAATTTTAATCCGGCTGAGAGGCCTCCCCTGCTCGTCCCTGGTTTGCCAAGCGGTTCTTCCTTGACGAAAATAGACCTTCCAAACCTAAAGTGCGCGCCCACAGGCTTCAGCGGCTAAGTCGACTCGGAAACGTCCTCTGCTCGCCCCTGGTTCGCTGGGGGGGGAAAGGTCCATGGCCGCCCCACTGGTCTCCATGGCTGCAGAGAGGAGGAGGTGGGGGGAGGGAGAGATGATTCTTCAGTCAACTAAAAAAACTTTCTCTCCTAGGCTACCTCCGTATCGTATAATATCATATCATGTCATGTCATGTCATGTCATGTCATGTCATGTCATATCATATCACACCACCCACAAGCCAAGCACCCACCTTAACGGGACTGCTCATAACCACTGACTCCTCCGGTACAGCTCCTGCCACACCGCCCCCCTCACTACCACCCTCGCCCTCACCCCCCTTTCACGCCCACCCTCGCCCTCACCCTTACGACCTTTGAGTGGACACAAAGGCAAGGCACCCACCTTAACAGGACTGCTCATAACCACTGACTCCTCCGGTACAGCTCCTGCCACACCGCCCCCCTCACTACCACCCTCGCCCTCATCCGCTCCCCCTCCCTTCCCCTCCGCCCCCCCTGCTGCCCGCCCCCTCCTCCGCCTGCCCAGCCCCATCAGCCTCGCCACCGCACTCCACCCCATGCCCCTCCCCACCGCATCCCCACCTCCCCCTTTTCCCCCTCCTGCGCCCTGTGTTGCTCTCTGCCCTGCTGCTGGTACTGCCTCACCCCTCCCTCCTCCGCCCACTCTCCCCATGCCCCCCATCCCCTCAATCCCCTGCATTTCCTGCCCAGGCCCCATCCCCATAACCGCCGTCTCCTCCGCCCCCTTCCGCCACCATTGCACCCCCTCCTCTCCCTCCTTTGCACGCCCCTCCCCGTCCCGCCATGCCCCTCCCCCCGCCTGCTCCCTCGCCAGTTGCCTGAGTGCGGCTGCCAGGTCCCCCCGCCCCGCTTGTCTCAGCTGCTCCTGTGTCGGCATGATGCCTGCCTGCCCCGCTGCCGCTGAGAACGCCTGCAGCTGCTGCCGCAGTGCAGCAGGGCTGGGATGGGCCAGAGGAAAGAGGGGAACAGGGGACATGTGAAGGAGGACGGGGAACGGGGAAAGGGGGAATGAGGAATGGGAAGAGGAAAACGGGAAAGGGGAAGGGGGAAGGGGGAATGCACACACGCATGCACTCAGGCATGACTCAGGCATGCAATCAAACACGCACTCAAGACATGCACACACGCATGGACACACGCATGCACACACGCATGCACACACGCATGCACACACGCATGCACACACGCATGCACACACGCATGCACACACGCATGCGCACACGCATGCACACACGCATGCACACACGCATGCACACACGCATGCACACACGCATGCACACACGCATGCACACACGCATAAACACACGCATAAACATACATATAAACACACGCATAAACACACGCATAAACACACGCATAAACACACATATAAACACACGCATAAACACACGCATTAACACACGCATGCACGCACACACACGTACTCGAGAGGGAGAGTCTCCTCTTCCACTTTCCTCCTCTTCCCACTCGGCCGCCTTCTCCTCCTCCTCTTCCGCTTCTCCCCCTCCTCTCCACCACTCCCATACCCCCTCCTCCCACCCCCCCTCCGCGCCCTGCTTGCCCCCCGGTCACTAGCACCCTTCTCCCTCCCACCCCTCCCCTCCCCTTCCTCGCCTCCACTACCCTCACCATCACTCACGCCCTCACTCTCGCTCCCACTCTCCTCCCCGCCCCGCACCCTGTCCTGCTGCCTGCTCCCATCGCCCCCACGCTTGCTCCCCTGAACCCCGTACCCCCTCTCCTGCCCCCCACGCGCACTGCTTGGCACGCTTGCACCAGGGTCAACGGGAGAGCCGGCAGCGGCATAACCCAGAGCCCCTGCACCGGAACTGCCCAGAGGGCTTGCACCGGAACTGCCCAGAGGGCTTGCACCGGAGATTGTTGGCGCTCTTGCAGTGGGATCGCCTATAGAGGTAGAGCTTGAGGTGGGATCACTGAGAGACGTAGAGGTAGGGGTAGGTGGAGAGGAAGAGGTAGAGGAAGGGGAAGAGGAAGGAGTGGAGGTAGCGGTAGCGGCGGGGTTCCACTGGATGGCGGGCAGTCCCAGCTGCTGGAAGAGCGCGGACAGGCGCATCTGCGCGCCCTGCACCACACTTGAAGACACCTTCCCCTCGCCGTCCGACCCTGAGGTGCTCGTTCCCCCGCTTTCAGACGCGCTCCCCTCTCCGCTTGTAAACGCCCTCGCTTCCCCATCTGAGCCTGACCCTGTGCCTGACCCTGAGGGCAAGCCTGACGCTGAGGGCAAGCCTGACGCTGAGGGCAAGCCTGACGCTGAGGGCAAGCCTGACGCTGGGCCTGACGCTAAGCCTCCTTCCCTCTGTGCGGTGGAACCTCTGCCCTCGTCTGAACCGGAATCATCCTCTGATGACGACGAGAATTCCTCCCACTCGCTGCTGCTTCCCCCCTCCCCCTCTGACCAGCCCTCCCCAGCTGACAATACTTCTTCCTCCTCTGACGAAGAGGACGCGTCCTCGTGAGAAGCCTCGAGCGCCCAGGATAGAGGCTCTGGAAACGAATTACGCGAGGAGAAGGGAGGGGCAGCGGCGGGGGTGAACCTGTACGAAGGATCCAAGGCAGAGGGACGGGGAGGGGGAGCGGCAGGCGGTGGAGCAGAGGCGGGAGCAGGAGCAGGAACACGGGCAGGAGCAGAAGCAGGAACACGGGCAGAAGGAGGAGCAGGAGCAGGAACACGAGCAGAAGGAGGAGCAGGAGCAGGAGCACGGGCAGATGGGTATAATTGGGATGTGGGCTGTGGGGGCGTGTCAAGCCCCGGCATCACATCCGCTCGCCAGTTCGCTGCTCCTGCCCCTGCCCCGCTCCTTCCCCCACTCGTTCCCCCACTCGTCGCCCCACTCGTTGCTCCTTGCATCACGCTACCTGCGCTTCTCCCGTCCGGCCTCCCCACGCCTCCCCCTGACACTGACCCCATTCCTCCTCCAACCCCTCTTGGCGTGGCACCCTCTTCCCCGCTTCCCCCTTCTGCCCAACCCTTCCCTCTACTATCAGCTCCTGGGGAAGGGCGGCGCGGAGAGGGCGGGGGGATGGGCGGGGAGGGTGGGGAGAGCATGGCGGACCAAAACCCTGACTCCGAGTCCACTCCGTCATCCACCGTTTCCACCTGCCGTTGACTCCGTTGACCCGAGCTACTCAGTTGACTTGCAGCCCGTTGACCCGGTTGACCCTCCCTGCCATTCCCACGTCTTCCACTAGCCTCTGTTATCCCCCATCCACTTGCATTTTCTCCCGCATTCCCCTTCCCTGTATTCCCCTTCTGCGCATCCCCCTTTACCCCATCCCCGGTCCCCGCATCCGCCGTCCCCGCGTCCCCCGCGTCCCCCACGTCCCAGCCGGCGCTGAGCCAACCGCCGTCCGCCAGGCACGCCGCCACGAGGTCGTGCCGGCCGGCGGCGAGCAGCTCGCGGCGCGTGGGGAAGCGGTCCGGGTGACCGTTGGCCACCATGAACTGGAAGATCGCCACCTCCAGCTCCACGCCGCCCCCCCATGCCGCGCCGCCTCCTACGCCGCCTCCCACGCCGCCTTCCATGCTGCCTTCCACTCTGCCTCTGCCACTAATGCCGCCGCTGGTGCCACTGTTGCTGCTGCTGCCACTGGTTCTGCTGATGTTGTTGCCATTGCTGCCACTGCTGCTGCTGGTGCCACTGCTGCTGCCACTGCTGTAGCCATTTGTCGAGCCTGAGGCAGCTGGTCTCAAACCATACCCGTTACTAGAGCTTCCGCTAAACCCAACAATACCGGAGCTGTTCCTACCATTACTGCTGTAGTCGCCTGTTCCCCCGACCGCACTGCCCACCAGCCCGCTTCTCCTTTGTCCAGGGGAACCAACACCTTGTAACGCGTACGGTGCTTTTCTCTTATTTGGAAAACAGAAGGAGCTAGCCTGAAAAACGTCCCTTTGCCGAACGCCTCTTCTCCGTTCCAACCGCGCAATCCCCGAATTCTGCGTCACAAGGTGCCTCGTTTCAAAAGCAAGCTGCCGTCCCTTCCAGTGGCGACACGCTCGCGACTCACAACCAGAAATACGCGAACATCGGGATTCATCGCGAGAGGAAAGACCTATCAGCAAGCCGTTCAACGACCTGCCTGAAAAGATAGGCCGTTGCACTGATCCCAAAACAAAAGCCCGCGGGTAATTCGCAATACCAGCAGGCTGGAGGAACGCTGGACGAGCTTGCGACCAATGGGGAGTTCGACCCGCCACCCGGACAGTACTATGTGACCGACACGTGGCAGCTGCTGGAGTATGCCAGCTGGCTCCTCTTGCTAAGTCCATGGGGCCTCCCGAATCTCGAGGCCCCAACTGTCTGATGCGAGCTAATCCGCGCGATTTCGGTGGACATGCATATGTCGCTAATCCGAGCAATCTATGTGACACGTATGACAGAAGGCACTACTACTATGCAGCTGTCGTAAGCAAGGGAGACACGACGTACGTGTGACGGGGTTGTGAAACGCATGACATGTATGATGCAGCTTGACCTCGCTGCATGATTAAAATCGCTCGCTCCACTCTGCAGGGGGCTGCATTCTCCACATAACCCTCCTCTCGAGCGGTCATTGAGAATTCTTAACGGTCATGGGAAATTCTTTGAAGTCTCTCGCAAGGACTTCAGTTCGGTACGTCGATGTGAGATTCTTCACTGGGAGTGAGATTCCATACTGTCAGTCAGAATGCTGTCCATAGTACCCATTGAAAAAACTCGATACGAGCATAACCTAGAAACCATCCCCCTACACCCGTCAATAAGCTTCCGTTAGAGATCGTTTCAGCGATTTGTTTACGAACTTCTCTGGGGAGCCTGAAGGCCCTAAACGTGCGACGATAATCCGCTTGACCTCTCGCTAGACCGAAACGCAGCTGGAAGCGAGCTTCCGCACTCTAGACTCGAACTTCTGCGAGTACCGCTAAGGTAAGACACCCGCGATCTGACATGCTCCAGGTGTGAAGCAGACAGAGTGGCACTGAGCTTCCGATGCTCCGGTATGATGCTAATTGAGTCTCCGAAATGGAGCTTTCGAAATGGAGCACGTACTAAGCAAGGAGCCACGGGAAGTGAACGACGGAAGCCTGCTCCATTCAAGTCGGATGCTCTCTGCCTTACCACGCTAGTCCAACAGGACCAGTCTTGAGAATTTATGATCTCAGGATTCTACCAGAGGGTGTTTGCAGGAGGAGATTCTGCAGCACAGAAGCTGGCGGGAAAACTTAGGCGCGTCCCAGAAGCTATATGTTTCCTGATTGCCTAACCAACCGACCTGGGTAGCATAATGACCGCGCTCACAAGCGAATTACCATATTAGACCGTATTCAAACAAACTCATGCTCCTCCTGCAATGCAGTGATCGGTGGGCCCCAACCCCAAGGAGTGATCGTTGGGCGCTTCTCGAAACGCTAGCAAGCATCGCAAGCTGACGATGAGGTGGCGAACCCCGCGAGGCCATGTGAAACCACAAACTCCTTTACTGTACTATTCTACACCTTCCACAGATCGCGTTGGTAGGGTCAGATTGATCACACACGAGGCAATGGTTGTTACATACAGTACCTCCAGGTGGAGTCTTGGCTTGTACTGCCACGTGGAAGCTTGATCAAGCCGTGTCGAAATGACATGTGGTGCAGGTTTTGCTGACAAGATCCAGCGCCCAGCAATCGAAGGACAACGGCAAAGACTCGACACGTTGGATTAGCGTCAGCGAAGTGTGACCACACGAGCCTGCTTGTCCCGGTGTTGGCCACACGCGTCAATTTCATGGTGCGCTGCGCAGTGATTACATAACGTTCTATGGTACATCACTCAAAAATCAAAGACGGCCTATATCGAGTTAAAACAGCATTGGCCACAATAATTGTTCCATTCAACATGCAAGCTGCATGCTGTTGGTAGACCAGTTAGTAGCAAGATTAACAAATATCATAAATCCATTTCAGGAAAGCACTTGAAAAAGGGCATTCAACCATGAACCTTCTTTTCTGCCATGCGTCTCTGGAGCTCCTTCCGAAGACTGCAAGCCAGGGGAAACAACAGGCCATGCGAGGGGAAACAATGAGCATTGTACATGGCAAAGGGAGTGCAGAAAGGGACCGATTGAACAGAAGATGAACAAAACAGGAACGCCTCAATTTCACTGCAAAACATCCCAATTCACAAAAACAATGAAAGGATACTTGCTGTTTCACATACCCTTGCTCGCGCTCTAGTCGACGAATCTCCTTTTGCTCCTTTTCCTCCTCCTGCTGCTTCTGCTCCCTCCCGCCTCGTCCTCGCCTCCCCCCATTCCTCTCCTTGCTACTCCCACGACCCTCCTCACTCTCACTCCCTCCCACACGCCCATGCTCGGTCCCACCTGCATCCCTCTCCCCGTTCCATCTCTCATCCTCACCCCCATCTCTTCTCTCACCACCACCCCCCTGAACCAACCCCTCACCACCCTTCCGAACCGCCCCTCCTCCCACACCACCCTCCCCCTCATCCATCTCGTCAACCCCACGCCTGGCCCTCTTCCTTTCCCCTCCTCTCTCCTCCCCCCCACTCCCCTTCACCCCCTCTCCCTGCCCATCAGGCCCTTCCGAATCAGAATCATCTGACCGCCCTCTGCCTCGTACCACACCTTCCCCCACCCCCTCTCCCTCAACCCTCCCCTTCCCCTCAGCCCTCCTCTCGCTATCATGCCTCTCCTCCACTCTCCCAGGGTCAGGGCTGCGGTTCCCTCCTCCTCCTCTCGCTCTCGGATCAGGGCTAACACTGCGTCTCCCTTCTTTCACTCTCGCGCTAGGACTAGGGCTGCGCCGCTGAGCCATGTGCTTGGGGCTGGGACTGCGTGGCCCTCCTCTCCCCCTGGGGCTACGGCTAACACTGCCTCTCCCTCCTCTCCCTCTGCGCTCCCGGGGGCTGGGACTAGGGCTGCGGCGGTGCCCCATGTGCTTGGGGGAGGGGCTACGCCCTTGCCGCCGGGGGCTGATGCCTCGCCCCCTCGGACTCACCCCCCTCCGCCTTCCCCCCTCCCTTCCGCTCTCCCTCGGACTCCTGTCCCTCAAATCCCTTGAATCTCTCCCCCTAGGGCTGCCCCCCCTTGGGCTCGCACTGCCGCTTCGGCCCCTCCTGCTGCCCGCTGCCCTCCCTCTGGGACTGGGACTGGGGCTTCTGTGAGCCCTGCGGTGATCTACCCCCCTCCGCTCAGGGCTCCTTCGGAAACTACCCCGGTAAGGGCTCCGCTCCCTGCCTCTCTCACCGCCACCCCGGCCCCTATACGGACTACCCCCATCCCTTCCCCTGTAGGGGCTCCGCCCATCCCTGCCTCTGTAAGGGCTCCTCCTGTCCCTCCCATTGTCCCTCCCACTGTCCCTCCCACTGCCCCTGCCACCATCGTTCGGCCGTGACCGGCTGGTGGGGCTAGGGCTGGGGCTGCGGTGTCGCCTCATCACCCCATGCCTAGGGCTGGGACTACGTTGCTGCCTTCTTTGCACCCTGGGACTTGGGCTGCGGCGGCCAGGGCTGCGGCTCAAGCTTCTGCCAGGGCGTCTGGCAGGGCTTCTGCTGCCCTCACGTCTGCCCCTCCTTTCCATGCCCCTCCTCTCGTCGTCCCTCGGCCTTCTCTCATCCTCCCATCCGTGCTCCCTGCCTCCGGCCGCACGCATTGCAGCAGAGCGCCCTCTCTGGTTCCAGGACAATGGGAAGAATGACAACAGGAAGAGAAAAGGATGGGCGAGAAGGGAATACGGATGTGAGGACTCACGAAGAGCTGCTGCAGCGCAGCTTATTAACCTTCAAAACCGCACTTGTGTCGAGTCACCTAAATTGCTACTTTGTCGAATCACCTGAGCTGCATAACCTTGAGCTGCTCTTTTAACACCGTCCCAAGGCATCTCACCCCAAGGCAGCTCACCTTATTCAGCAGCATCGCACCTCACCAAAGCAGTATCTCACCTCATCCAACCGCATCTCACCTCATCCAACCGCATCTCACCTCATCCAACCGCATCTCACCTCATCCAACCGCATCTCACCTCATCCAACCGCATCTCACCTCATCCAACCGCATCTCACCTCATCCAACCGCATCTCACCTCATCCAGCAGCATCTGTCGCAGCCTCTGCGCTTCTGCTGCCACCTCGTCTCCTCGCCTCCTCTCCTCCTCCACCCTCCTCCTCTCCTCCTCCTCCCTCCTCTCCTCCTCTTCCTCCTCTATTCGCATCCTCTCCATCCTCTCCTCCTCCTCTATCCTCTCCCTCTCCCTCCGCTCCTCCTCCTCCTGCATCCTCCTCTCTTCCTCCTCCTCCTGAGCCACACAGAGTTAAAAGACAAACAGAAAGACAGTGCAGAAAAATGCAGACAGTCACAACAGAGAGAAAGAGGGGAAAAACGAAATGGAGGAGGATGCATACAGGCAAGTGGACAGAGAATGCTCTTGCACTCAGCTGGATTCCTCTCACACACACATACATGCTGCTGACACAATCGAAGTGAAAGACAGAGATGGAAAGAGAGAACAACACAAACACAAATTACCCAAACCAGCTAGTAATACTCGAAAAGGAGGGAAATACTTATTTGAAAAAAAAGAAAAAGAAAGAGAGAGAGAGAGAGAGAGAGAGAGAGAGAGAGAGAGAGAGAGAGAGAGAGAGAGAGAGAGAGAGAGAGAGAGAGAGAGAGAGCGAGAGAGAGAGAGGACTTAGCACCCAGCCCTCTTCCTCTTCCCTCGGCCCTCTTCCTCTGAGCCTATTTAAGGGCCCTTGGTGCCTTCTTCTCCTCATTATTTCGTGTGTTCTCAGTTTTCCGCGGCTCGCGCCGGCGGCCTTCGGCCGCGCGTTTCAGAGGCAAGACACTCACACAAGGAGTTGATCAAGCAAGGCATTCCAAGAAGGAAGAAATCAAGCAACTGGAGAGCATCACCTTACGATCAAGATGCAATACTACACGAGACGCCGCTCTACTGCGTGTACAGGCCAGCCCCCTCCGCCTCAAGCATCGCAAGAAGACACCCCGCCATCGAGTGGAGAAGCTCCGCCAAGAAGCGAAGAGTGTCAACAGGGGTCCCGTGCTGAGCCGCAGCATGAAGATCAAGAGCGAGGCGGGGGAAGGTACGGGCTAAGGGTGCTACCCCGGCGGGCGCATCCGACACGGGCGATAAAAGGGGGACAATCTCTCCTGCCCAAGCGACGCACTGTCCTTGGGGCCCTTGAGCAAAGCTGCTCGGTGTGTGACGCATGGCCTCACACGCCGCCAGCTGCAGGCTCGCCAGCCCCTCAGCTGCCCCCGCCGAATTCCACAACCGGCACATGCTCAGCGTGGGATCTCTCCCCGCGCGGCTGGGGAGAGGCGCAGTCGGAACTCCGTGCGGCAGAAACATCCCCACCTGGCCCGGAGTCTGGCCAACCGTATTCTGAGGAGCAGGGTAACCTGGGGCTTGGCGGCGTCCGCGGAACGGCCCCCTCGCCGCTGCAGCTGGCAGATACTCCCGCAAGGTCGGAGCGCGCAGCGGAGCGGCTTCAACCGCAACAGGTGCGGTGGGGGGCTCAGTGGTCACAGACACGTGAACGTGAGCCGCTGCCCCCGACGCTTCCACCTCCCGCACTGCATCCGCCACCATATTCCCCGCGCGGTCAGCAGTGGAGCCCTGGCCACGACTACCCCCGCCGCGCGCATAACCATTCCGCCGCCCACGACGCCCTCCAGACCCAGCCGACTGAGGACGGGGCGGGGACTGCTCACGGCGGCGAGAATCCCAACGGCCCGCATGAGCCCCGCGGCCCCGACGCGGAGGCGACGGCCGCGGCGTCCGCTGCGGAGGGGACCGCTCCCGCGGGGAGCGCTTCTCCGGCGACCTCTCAGAAGAGCGGTAGCGGCGGTCGCGATGCTGAATTTCCCGCTGATATTCGTCCCATCGCCGCCGAGAGTCATGCGGCTCGGGGGCGCGACGCGCAGGGGACGCGGGTCGATATCCACGAGGCGGCGGGGACCGGCCCCGCTCCTGATGCGCCGGCAAGGCATTCGACGCGACGACTAGGGGAGCACGGGATTGCTCGGGAGACGCGTGACGATCCGCCCCGCGCAGCGGAAGAGACAACCCGCGCTCAAGACGGCGCACAGGCGCCGACGCAGCAGGACGAGCCTGCACTTGGGAACGCGGAGGCGCATACTCGGGGTTTGGCTGCACAACAAGCTGAGCGCTCTCCGCGGTTGCTTCCAAGGCGCGGTCGCGACCCACGGACCCCGCCATCACGACCGAGGCGTGAGCCGAGGACGCCAGAGCCCCGCTTGGCAGGGGAGGAGATTGGCGAAAACCGCACGCCTGTAATGCACAGCCCAATCGCGAGGAGTGGCACACCTGGCGGACGACGCGTAGGCGGGAGAGGACGCCGAGGAAGAGGAGCTGGGAGGAGAGGAGGCCAACTACAGGCGCGAGCGGCTATGCGAGGACAGCAGAACACTACTCCGGGAAGGCGCGGAAGGCGGCGAGGAAGCCGCTAGCAGGGGGGAGAGTGGTGAATCGGAGAACGACGAGAGTGACGAGGGTGACCCAGGTTTTAACCCCGAAACGGAGGGAGGTTTGGATGCTGAAGCTGATGAAGATGATGAGGAGCTCTTGGTTCGTGGGGCTGAGTTCCTGGACCAACAAATTGGAGCCGCGTCTGCAACACGAACCCCAGCCAGGAATCGGAATGTGGGGGGAAATCTGGCCTGGAGGGGAAATCGGACCGCGGCAGAAATCACATTTGACTCTGCCGCAACCAATAGGAACACCCCAACCCCAACTCCAACCCCACCAATGATCCACCCAGGCGACTTGGCGAAACGACTGGACCTTTTCGCGCAAGTCGCAGGCTGGGACCTGGACCCACTTCGCGACAGTCGCCAGCCCCCCCTCGCCCGTCACCCGCCAAAAGACCTTCGCGAATCATTCGTAGTCTGCCTACTCACCCCACTCCTCCACCTGGCAGCCAATCCCAACTCGACCGCGGGGTGGAGGTTACTGACTTTCCTCCCGCGAATCCTCCTACGCACCTCGTCAGCTCGCAAATCAGACTGGAACGCGATGATGAATCGCCTCCTCCGTTTCCGCCAGGGACTCTGGTCTGGCCTGTACGACGAGGCAGTTGAAGCAATTTCCCTCCCAGCCCAGCCACGTCACGTACCTGACACTCAGGGCATCCTTGCTAGAGCGGAGGGACTGGCCAAGCGTGGTAACCTGGCCAAGTCACTACAGTCCCTCCAAGCCACTCCGGTCTCACCTGCCTCCTCCGAAGTGTACGCGGCATTAGCAGCACGACACCCGCAAGCACTCCAGCCCTTACCAGAATGGATACGCACCTTCTCCCCCGAGAAAACCCCTTTGATAGAGCCGCGCGACTTCAGGCGCATCGTAGCCAAACTCCCAAACGGGGTGGGAGCAGGGCCCTCAGGCACAACCTCCGAGCACATACGCGATGCTGCACTCGGAAATCCAGACATCTTCGCCCATCTCCTCGCACTTACCAATACAGCTATAGCCGGGAAACTCAGCAGCGAGGCCACCGAGCTCCTCACAGCCTCACGGCTCTTGGCCTTCACAAAACCGCAGGGGGGGACCCGACCGATAGCCGTGGGCGAATGCCTTCTTTGCATAGTGGCCAAGGCAGCATTGTTCCTGACTGGGGCGGCGGCACGATCACACTTCGCGCCACTACAGTTCGGGGTAGCAGTGGCTGGAGGGATTGAGGCGGCCATTCACACTGCGCGCACATACCTGGAGGAGAACCCGGGCTCGGTGGCGCTGCAGATTGACCTCGCCAACGCGTTTAACGCGGTGGAAAGGGCGGCGGTATTCGAGGGGCTCAAGAACGAGTCCCTTGAAAGCCTTCTGCCCCTTGTCCGCCTCTCCTACGGAACTTCCTCAGCACTCCACCTCGACCATGACTTCGGCGTGGCTCCACTGCTAAGTGCTAGAGGCGTCCGCCAGGGGGACCCTCTTGGCCCCTTGCTCTTTGCAGCAAGCATCCACCCACACCTTACCGCAACGGCACTAGCTCACCCAAGGGTCGTCATTCTCGCCTATGCAGACGACATAACGCTGCTAGGCGAAGCAGAAGCGTGCACGGCGGCATTTACACACCTCACTGCCGCACTGATCCACATAGGCCTCGAGCACAACCTTGGGAAGTGTGAGGCTTGGTCTGCAACCGCCATAGACCCCGCCTCTCTCCCTCCGAGCTTCCCCATTGCAGCAGACGGACTGCGGATATTAGGAAGCCCAATCGGGACCTCAGATGGCTGTGCCGCCAGAGTAAGGGAAAGGCTTGCAGCAGCAGCAGAACCCTTGCCGCTCCTGGCCCAAATGGACCCCCAATTGTGCCTGCTGATTCTCACCCGCTGCGTGGGCCGGCGAGCATCCTTCCTGGCCAGAACCACTCCGCTAGAGGCACTACCTGAGGATGAATGGGCGGCATGGGGGGAGCAACTGCTGCATACCTTCCTGGACGCGGCCCATATCATGCTGCCAAGGAGTGACGCGGAACAGAGGAGAATCTGGAGGCAAGCGGCGCTGCCCATAACATTGGGGGGGCTTGGCATTACAAATCCTGCAGTTGAAGGGAGCTATGCGTACCTTGCGTCGGTGGTGGGCACCTCCCACTTACTGCACTCCCTGGCCGAGGCACTCCACCCAGATGTAGCAGCCCTCCTCCCCCTAATGGACCCCACCTCCGGCTCCGCGCACGCCCTGCCTGCACGCCTTGCAGCAGCGGAAGCAGCCCTCCCCCCCGAGGCTCTAGAAGCTCTCCAGGCCGAGAAAGCAGACCCACAGGGCCTCAAGCTGCAGCAGTCTCTAGCGCTGGCGGTTCAGACACGCCGCTTCCTGAGGGTCATGAACGAGGCAAGGCGGATGCGCCCCAACCCCCTCTCTGGCCATGCCCAGAGAATGCAGTCGGTGCTCGGCCCTGGTGCGAGAGATTGGCTGCTGGCACTACCCATCATACCCTCGCTTAGGATGGGACCCTCCCATCTCTCCTCCGCTGCTGCGTTCCGCCTGGGCCTCCCCCTACCTGTCCCCAGGCGCTGCGACTGCCGCTACCGCACCAAATTCCTTGATGACCGCCTCCCAAACCATCTCATGCGCTGCGAGAAAGGTGGGGGAAGGATTGCGATCACCGTGCGCTCAGGGACGAGATTGCTTTGATTGCGGCAGAGGCGGGATTCACGGTGCACAAAGAAACCTATGTATTCTCTCTCGTTGAAAACCTGAAGGCGGACGTCGCAATCCGCCATCCCCGGACGGGAGAGGTTTGGATGTGCAACGTGACAGTGACGGACCCCGTTTCTCACCAAGATGAGAACTGCAATAGAGCACCGGGGTGGGCGGCTAGGGCAGCTGCGGACAAGAAGGAGCAGAAATACGCGCGCCGGAATGCGTGGGTGGGCTTTCATGCCCTAGCGGTAGAGACATATGGGTACCCCTCGCCCGGGGTGTTGGCATTCTTGCGGCAGTGCGCGGAGCTGGCGGCCAAGTTGCGATTCAACGCAGCCCCCAACTCCTACGAGGCCGCCAAGCTGCTGACGGAATACCGCCAGCGCTGGAGCGTGTGCCTCCAAAAAGCACAAGCCAACGCCCTCCGCTGCAAGACCAACGAGGCGATAGCAGCGGACAAGCTCGGCATGCGGGGCCCCTTTGCCCCCCTTAGCGAAGGCCAGCTCTACCAGCTAATAGAGCCCTCGTTCGACCTTTAGGGTCGGACGGAGGGGGCGGGAGGGAGTAAGGGAATGAGGTAGTTAGGTAGACCGAGTGTTATGTCTGGGTTTTGCATGTGTTTGCATCTTCCCATGTATCTCCCATCAATCAATACCAAGACCATTCGAGAGAGAGAGAGAGAGAGAGAGAGAGAGAGAGAGAGAGAGAGAGAGAGAGAGAGAGAGAGAGAGAGAGAGAGAGAGAGAGAGAAGCAAGGACTTAGCCTCTTCCCTCCTAGCCTCTTCCCCTCTCTTCCCCTGCTATATAATGGCCTCCTGGCCTCTGGTTTAGCTCATTCTTCATTCGGTGTTCCAATTTTTCCGGCCTTCGTTCGAGAGAGCGAGAGAGAGAGAAGCAAGGACTTAGCCTCTTCCCTCCTAGCCTCTTCCCCTCTCTTCCCCTGCTATATAATGGCCTCCTGGCCTCTGGTTTAGCTCATTCTTCATTCGGTGTTCCAATTTTTCCGGCGCTTCGCGCCGGCGCTCGCGGGCGCGGCCTGCGGCCGCGCGTTTGGGACGACAAGATCAACAAGGATGACATATAGCAAGATGACAACACCGACGAACATGGCAGGCAACGACAACTAGGAGAGCAAACATGGAGCGGGTCTACTCACGCGCGAGAGGGGCGCCTACATGCGGTCGGCCTCAAGCTCACCAAGCGTTTCGCGCGTGGTCAACCACATCAGGCGGACCACTGACGCGGTGGCGCCGACAACGTCAACAGGAGTTCCGCGAGATCCAACAAGCGTCTTCAGATCCAGGGCCTTCTCGGCCAGCTGGGTGGCCGAGACTACTCCCGGCGAGGGCGCAACCTGCAGTGGCGATACGTACGAGAATAGCGCTGACGCCGCTGCATGACACCGTGCTCGTGGCATCTGAGAGAATGTGCTCGGTGGGGTCACCGCCATGGAGCCATGGGACTCCAGGAGTATCAGCTCAAGGCTCTGCAGGCTCTCCGCCAGCGACCACAAGCGCGCCAGGGTCACCGTGGGCACTTCCTTCATCGGCGGAAGGACAGCAGCGGCGCGCGTTCGGCGGGACGACACAGCGAGATCACGTGGAGGGGAGCGAGGACGCAGGGGTGCATACGCGGCCCAGGGATCCCCACCACCTGCGCCCACGAAGCCAGCCCCTGCTGGCAGCGGACGACCAGGACGCGCAACGGAACCCTCAGGGTTGTGCGGCAGGAGGGCAGCAAGAGGAACGACGGGGCCAGCCGGCGGCACGGAATGGGATGACGCCTCCGCGTTCGAGCGGTGGAGCGCTTTCTCCACGCCGTCCAACCTTCGGAGAACGCGCTCAAGCTCGGACGGCGCTTGACGCGCAGTTCCGCCGCGTCCATACCCTCCCCGCTGCCCACGACGCCCACGTCCACTTGCATTCGAGTGAGCGGGCGACTGCTGGCGAGATGGGACGCGTTGGCGCTGGCGAACAGGGGATCGGCCCTCGTGACGAGGAGAGTAGAGCCGCTGGCGCTTTGACGGCCGCGGCGAACGCGCAGATGGGGACCGCGGGCGAGACACGTGCGGAGCAGGCGATCGATAGTGTGTGGCTTGGCGACCGGGCGAACGGTGACGACGCGACCGGCGGTCCGGAGATCGGCTCCTCGATGCCGCGCGGCGCGGTGAACGTGGTGAGTGCGGTGATCGCGGCTTCCGAGGCGACCGATGCTCGGCGTGACGCTCCGCACGGTGGCTCTCCTGCCCGTCACCGCGCGCCACTGTCGATCGGCGACGAGGCGAACGTTCCCGGCGCGCCGCAGCCTCTGCGTCGGAGCGGACGACGGACTCCGCACGCGCAGGCGCCGGCGCGGGCCGCTGATCTTCGAAACGGCGACGAATCTGATCGGCGGCAGCCATCGGAGCGACAGGGACGCTCGCGGCAGGACGTGCAGGAGGAAGCGGACGGGGAGCGAGATCGCTCACCGCGGAACACCCGCGCTCAGGAGCAGCCAGGAGATCCATCGGAGCAGAGGGATGATAGCGCTCGCCCAACGGGCGGCCGACGCGGCGGAGGTAGAGCTGCAGGCCGGGGAGGGCGAGCAGCTGGGCGTGGCGGGAGGGCTCGAGGAGGCGGTCCGGAGAACGTGTACCAGCAGGCGGGACGGAGGGCTTTAACTGAGATGAGCAACGATAATAATTCAACCACTTCAGACGGCAGCTTTGTAGCTGCAGAATCTACGGACTCGACCTCTAGCTCTGAGTCACTGGAAGACGAGCAGCAACAGACCCCTGCTCGAGCGAGCAGGCCAGCCGCAACCCACCTGCCGGGGGGAAACTCAGCAGTGAGATCCAACAGGAGGGGTCCCCCAACACCAACCCGTGCCGCATCGGGAAATTTCGCCACTCCACCAATCCCAACCCCGATTTCCAACATTCAGACCCCTACCCACACCGCCCCCCAACCTGCACCTGGCGGTAACCACGTCCCAACCCAACCCTTAGAGGAAAAATCCCCAGAAACTCTCGCCAAGGACGGCACGCTATTCGCCAGCGTTGTAGCCTGGGATCTCACGAAACTACGCGACTCTCGCCACGCACCCCTTTCCCGCCACCTCCCTCCAGACCCACGCAAGCTTTTCGCCACAGCCTTGTTGGCGCCGCTGCTGCGCTTGGCGAAATATCCAGACTCTACCTCTGCTTGGACGGTCGTTCTATTCCTGGCTCGCTTAACACTTCGCCAGCTGTCCCCACGACGTCCAGATTGGAAGGCTGTCAGTGCCCGCCTTCGTCAGTTTCTGTCCGGGGAGTGGGATAAGCTATACAATGAGACAGTGGGCTCACTGACGTGGCCCCAACCACCTAGACACCAGCCCGATGACATTGGTGTCATCGCTAGGGCAGAGGGGTTGGCACGACGTGGCAGCCTACGACGAGCCGTGATGGCACTGGAAGCCACGCCAGTCAGCATTCCCTCCCCAACTGTGCTGGAGGCCCTGCGCGCCAAACACCCACCAGCGCCCGCCTCCCCACCTGACTGGACTTTTCCAGCACCTGACCCCCACCTATCAGCACCATTTGCAGTCTTCTCCAAGGTGCTGGGAACCACGTTTGAACACTTACGCGATGCAGCGCTGATCAACCACTCCGTTGGGAAGCACCTTCACGCACTAGTCAACACGATTCTCACGGGAAACCTACCTCCTGCAGTGGCCGAGCTCCTCACCGCCTCGAGATTAATTGCCCTGAGCAAGCCCGATGGGGGGACGCGGCCGATCGCCATCGGCGAAAGCATAACGCGCCTCGCGGCCAAGACGGCGCTTACCTTGACCGCAGGGGCCGCCCGTGAGTTCTTCCTACCGCACCAGTTCGGCGTGGCTGTCCCTGGTGGGGCGGAAGCGATTATCCACATCACACGCACTTACCTCACGGTGAACACAGGAGCTTTGGTCCTGCAGGCTGATCTGGCGAACGCATTTAACAGCGTCAACCGCGACGCCATCATCAAATCTCTTCGGGACTCCACCCTCGCCTCGCTCTTACCGTTAGTTAAACTGCTGTACGGCCTTCCCTCGGCTCTATGTCTGGATGCTGGCTTCTCACACCCACCTCTGCTGAGCGAGACCGGGGTGCGACAGGGAGATCCCCTCGGCCCGTTGTTGTTCGCTGCCGCCATACACCCTGCACTGACGAAAACAGCGCTCACCTTCCCCTCTGTCGTCTGTCTTGCCTATGCGGACGACGTAACTTTCCTTGGAGATGCAGCCACGTGTGCAGCAGCGTTTGAGGACTTCACAGGAAACCTTGGGGAGATTGGGCTGCGCCACAACCCCGCCAAATGCGCAGCCTGGTCCCCAGGCAGGCCGACAGGGAGCTGCGCTACCAGTGGGCGTACCTTTCACTGAAGATGGGGTGAAGGTGCTTGGCAGTTTCATCGGTGGCAGTGACGCAACTGCCGCGTTCCTACGTGCCAGCCTCGACACCATGGGCGGGCCGTTGCCCTTAATAGCGCGGATGGAGCCACAGCTGGCTTCCCTTCTGCTCTCTCGGTGCATCTCACGAAGGATCGCTTACGTCGCCCGCACCACGCCGCTTTCAGCCCTGCCAGTCGAGGAGTGGTCAGACTGGGGTAAAAGGCTGTTTGAGACACTGCTCGATGCCTGCGGCATTCGCCACCCACGGGGGGAGGCTGAGATTTCACGTACCTGGGCGCAAGCGTCACTCCCCATCTCGCTCGGCGGTTTAGGTCTCACAGACCCCTCGGTGGAGGGACGTGTTGGGTTTCTCGCAAGCTACACGCAAGCGCAGCACCTGCTCACCTCCATTGATGAGTCGGCGGTCGGCGCCCTGGCGGAAACGCGGATCCAGATGGTGGGGCCCTTCATCAACACGTCCCCGCTCTTTGACTGGCTGGAGAGGTGTGAGGAGTCACTGCCGGATGATGGGAAGGAGCTGCTGCAGAGCGACCGAGTTGATCCCAAGGGCGTCAAGCTGCAGCACGGGCTGGCAATCGCGGTCCACGGACTGCGCTACGCGGAGCAGGTGCAGGCTACACGCATCATGCCTCTCAACCCAATGAGCGGGCACACTCAGCGCATGCTCTCACTCTCAGGGTATGGGGCAGGAGACTGGCTCAATGCAGTCCCCTTCAACTCGACACTACGGCTTGCCCCTGCTCACTTTGCGCATGCGCTGCAATTCCGGATGGGGCTACCCTCCTCAGCTCCAGGCGCGTGTGACTGCCGCAAGGAGACAGCGATCCCAGACAGGCGGCTGCCCAACCACCTGATGCGCTGTGACACAGGGAAGGGGCGGACCAACACGCACAATGAACTGCGCGATGCGTGTCTGCACATGGCCGCCGACGCTGATTTCATGACTCACAGTGAGACGACCACGTTCTGCCCCGTCACCCTTAAGAAAGCAGACATAGCGATCCGGGACAAGTCCTCAGGGGCGGTGTGGATATGGGACGTGACCATCACGGACCCCATCAGCACACGGGATCCCAACGCGGTTAAGGGCAGGGGGTGGGCGGCCAGAGAGGCGGCAGAGAAAAAGATCTCCGACTACGAGGGCTCAACGGCCTCGTGGGTCGGATTCTTCCCTCTCGCCGTTGATACCTACGGCTGCCTCTGCGCGGAGGTCCCTCAATTCCTCAAACTTCTGGCCGACACCGGCGCGCGCAGGCTCTTCAACGCGGCCCCCTCATCTTACCAAGCAACAAAGCTGCTGCATTAGTTCCGCCAGCGGTGGTCCGTGGCGCTGCAGCAGGCGCAGTCGGTGAGCTTCATGACGAAGTGCAACTATGCGGCTCAGGTAGAGAACCCACCTGTGGCGCTGCCGGGCGAAGGCATGTCCCTCGGGGACTGCCTTGCCATCCTGGAGCCTGCACTGGAGCTGCCTTAGAGGGTGAACGAGAGTAGGTAGGATATGGGGGTTATAGAGGCTGAGGTGCTTTGCTCCCTATAACCTTGTGCATGTCTGTACCGTGCTCGGATCTAATACACGGACCGCTTGAGAGAGAGAGAGAGAGAGAGAGAGAGAGAGAGAGAGAGAGAGAGAGAGAGAGAGAGAGAGAGAGACGAATGCGCGCGGATGGCGCGCGACGCAGGCTTCATGGTGCACATTGAATCGGCCGCTTTCAGCCCAGTGGAGGAGAAGAAGGCGGACCTGGCCCTCCGCTGCCGCCGTACTGGAGCTGTCTACATCTGTGATGTGACGGTGACAGACCCCATCAGCACCCGCGACGAAAATGCAACTAAGGGGCGGGGGTGGGCGGCACGGGAAGCAGCAGATAAGAAGCACGGCCTCTACAGGGACCGCCCAGAGTGGGTGAAGTTTTTCCCGCTCGCGGTCGAGACTTATGGGTGCTCTTGCCCTGAGACAGTAGATTTCCTGAAGCTGCTCGCGGAGACGGCTGCAAGGCGGTTCTTTAACGCCGAGCCCACCTCCTACCAAGCTGCCAAACTCCTACACCAATATCGGCAGCGGTGGTCGGTGGCGCTTCAAAGGGGGCAGTCGATTGGTTACTTGGAGAAGTGCAACATAGCGGCTGCAGTAGAAAACCCACTGCTGGAGGTGGTGGGGGAGGCACCGTCCCTAGGGGACTGCCTCTCGGTCCTCGATCCTGCACTGGACCTAGCTTAGGGGAGGGGGGGGAAGTGATAAGGGAGTAGTAAGAGCCTTTTGTGCACAAGACTCACACATTAGCCACCACCTTGCATGTCTGTAACTCCTGTAATAACCAATGAAAGGACCATTTGAGAGAGAGAGAGAGAGAGAGAGAGAGAGAGAGAGAGAGAGAGAGAGAGAGAGAGAGAGAGAGAGAGAGAGAGAGAGAGAGAGACATCGATCATCCTAGTAACAGCAATGCCTCACCTCCAGCCGTCGCCTCTCCTCCTCTTCCTCCAACTGCCTCAACCTCTCCGCCTCCTCCTCCTCCTCCCTCCGTCGCTGCTCCTCCTCTTCCCTGCAAACGGGATAGGGAGGTGCTAGGGTAAATTGCACAACAGTGAGAAGAGGAGGACCAAGGGTGAAAATCGGCGGGAAGGAAGGACGATGATAAACTAAGGAGCAATGAGATGAGGATGAATGAAGCAATTTGACAGTGGGAGAGGGCAAGCGGCGGGTCACTTTTGGAAAAAAATAAAAGGAAAGAAAAGGAAATAATGGAAAAAAAGGCTTGGATGAAACCGAAGGGATAAACGGATTTTTCAAGACATCTGAACACTCCCTGTAACCTCCCCCCCCCACCCCACCAATTCCCCTCCCCTAGAAACACCTGCCCCGTAAGCCTCACCGACGAACCCTCTCTTCCTCCTCTCGCGCCTTCCGCTCCTCCACCTCCTTCCTCTCTCTCTCCGCCCGTTCTCTCTCCGCCTTCCTCCGCTCCTCCCGCTCCCGCTGCTGCCTCTCCTCCTCGGCTCGCTGCTCCCTCGTGAATCGCCTCCTCCGCACGTTCCGCTCGTCGAAGTAATCCCCACCGTCGATCACCAGCTGTACTCTCGCCAGAGATAAAGATCCTTCCTGCAAGCAACCAATCAAGTGGGTGCAGGGGGGGAGGGAAGGAAGAGAACAGGGACATGAAGGGGAGCCGCACGTTCTGCTCATCAAAGTAATCCCCACCGTCGATCACCAGCTACACTCTCGCCAGGGACGACGATCCTTCCTACAAGGCAGCGTTCAAGTGGAAAATCAGGAGGGGGAAGGGGGTTATGGGGGGAGGGGGGAAGGGGGGGGGGGGGGAGGGATTGGTGGTTAGGGGGCAAAGAAGGGGAGCCGCAAGTTCCACTCGTCAAAGTAATCCCCATAGTCGATCACCAGCTACACTCTCGCCAGAGACGACGATCCTTCCTACAAGGAATCGTTCAAGTGAAAATTCAGGGGAAGGGAGAGAGGGGTGGAGGGGGGAGGGGAGGAGAGGGAGAGGGGAGGGGTGGAGGGGGGGAGGGGTGGAGGGGGAGAGCGGTGGAGGGAGGGAGGGGTGAAGGGGGAGAGGGGTGAAGAGGGAGAGGGGTGGGGGAGAACGGGGACATGAAGCAGAGCCGCAAGTTTTTATCGTCAAAGTAATCCCCACCGTTGATCTCGAGCTGCACTCTTGCCAGAGACCACGATCCTTCGTACAAGAGACGACTGCTGTGAAACTGAGCTGCGCGCCTCAAAAGAAACCACGAGCCTTCCTATAAAAGATCGTGAGAAACTGAGAAAAAGAGAGGGGGGGGTTGATGGGGAGGGGGGGGGTTTGATGGGGAGGGGGGGGGTTTGATGGGGAGGGGGGGGGTTTGATGGGGAGGGAGGGGTTTGATGGGGAGGGAGGGGTTTGATGGGGAGGGAGGGGTTTGATGGGGAGGGGGGGGGTTTGATGGGGAGGGGGGGGTTTGATGGGGAGGGGGGGGGGTTTGATGGGGAGGGGGGGGGTTGATGGGGAGGGGAGGGAAGGGGGGGAAGGGAGCAATGAGAAGGAGTAGCACGTTTCCCTCGTCTAGAGCCCCACCGTAAAGCACAAGCTGCACTCTCGCTAGGGACCTGTGTGTGAGTGGGTGCTGTGCGTGCGCGTGAGTGTGAGCGTGTGCTGTGCGTGTGTGTCCTGGGAATGTGTGTGTGTGCGAGTGTGTGCGTGTGTGTGTGTGTGTGTGTGCGAACACATATCACTCGCTCTCACCTTCTTCACCGCATGTCAAGCCAGCGCCTTCACTGCATCACAGAACGTGCTGTGGCTAATTTGAGGCGTCTCATAACAAACTCAATATCACATCACATCACATCACATCACATCACATCACATCACTCCCTCTCACCTTCTTCACAGCATGTCGAGCCAGCGCCTTCACAGCATCACAGAACGTGCTGTGGCTGCCGAACCTCACCATCACGTCCGTCTCCAGCTTCAGCGCCAAACCTGCTCCCAAACCTAATCCCAAACCAGCCGTTCTCGATGCTGCTGCACCAGCAACCCCCAGGGTTCGTCCTTGTGTGACTTTAGCGGAGGGGAGCTCCTCGTTGGGGTCTAGAAGCTCGATGTTCCTGTAACGAGGGAAGTATTCCAGAAGAAGCATGAAACCAAATGACAATTTAGAGACGTTCTATAAACGTTTTGCTCGTGTAGCGAGAAAGGATTTCCAATAAGGAGCATCTGGCGATGCATCTGATTACCTGATGCTTCACCTGATCGTATCACCTGATGTTGCACCTGGTCAATTCACCTGATGACCTCACCTGATGGTACACCTGATATTGCGCCTGATGGTCCTACCTGACGGGACCAAACGAGGAGAAGACAGTGTGGGCGATCAGCAGCGACGGCTTCGTGGAAACCCGCTCTTCCGCCAACCAGCGGCACGGAATGCCGCATACCCTCAGCGTATCCGGGCGCTTTTCCGAACCACCCTTCCTTCCGGATTCCTCTGCCAGCCAATCGCGCATCAGCTCGCCATAGGACGGCGAATCTGCTGGCTCAGCATGACAGGTAATTCGAGCCGCGGAAACCCTAGTTTCCCAACTTCCGAAGTTAGAGACCACAGAAGAGGCTACGGATTCTCCTGAGCGTCCCCATAATAGCAGCGTCGCCACGGCGATTGGCTCGCCACGTGTGATCTTATCGAGGTTCTTCGTCCAGGAAATCGTGAGATCTTTCTCGTTAAAAGAAGGCCAATTGGGCGCCGACGCGTGGGATCTGTATTTCGCCTCGATCGCCTCGCGCAGCTCCCATTGGTTGACGAGCTTCGGTAACCCGTCTTGTCGCACGAAGGAGAGCGAGATCGCACGGTACGGCACAAGCGAGAGGCCATGCCCGACACGCAAGTCTGAAATATCTTCCTTCTCTTTCTGAACCAGCACGGGAACTAGGCTTGTCGCCATAGCTCCGCCGTCTCACGATGCACGAGTTTTAGGTCAGTAAACTACCTCCGTGCAAGATACTAGCATCTGGAAACGTTCTCAGCCGAGCCGACTCCTGGTCCTGGACTGGATTATGGAGTTAACAAATTCGAAGGAGAGAGGGAGAGTCAAGGCAGATCAGTCCAGGTTTGCAATAATCGCTTTAGAGTGCACCGCGATACAACACGTAAAATGTGAAATAACTATCTTAGAACAATAACGATTAACTAAATACATGTGCTGGTCAGATCAGTTTGCGCATCACAATCCCTGATATCCAGCCAATATTTAGAAATCCGAGGTGCACATCTAAGGCAGGTAGCAAAGGATAGCCCCGTCGAAGTGAGGAGGCGGCCTGAACTAGACAATCAGGCATTTAAGTGGCAACTCGATGTAAGCATGAAATAGGATTTGTCAGCACAGGGGAGGGAACATTCAAGTTACAAGGGAGTTCTGTCGTACAAGAGGGCTTAACCAAGACAGATGGAAGCCCGACTAAGGCCGTAAGCGGCACAATCAGGTGTACAATATCAAATCAAGGGAAAAGAGCATTGAGTCGAGGAGAAAATGTGTTTCAATCAAGTACAAGCATTGTTTCAGTCGAGGTAGAAGAGGGTGACGATCTTGCCCATGTCCTTGGCCTCCTGACACGTCTCCATGAGCAGCCGGCTGTCATGGAAGCGAATGACTTTTGAGTCGACACAGAGTCATTTCGAGCCCACCCCAATCCCGATGGGTGCTTAAGAGTGGAAGCGTTCTAATCAAGGTAGAAGAGGGTGACGATCTTGCCCATGTCCTTGGCCTCCTGACATGTCTCCATGAGCAGCCGGCTGTCGTGAAAAGCGAAGCAGATCACATGCTCTACCTCCGATAGAATGTCCATGTTGCACAGCCTGTGTGGCACATGGCAGGGAGGGTGAGGAAAGGACAGCGAGAGACAGTGAGGGGGGATAAGGAGCCACTTGGAGGCAGATCACATGCTCCAACAAGACAGAATGTACATGTTGCTCAGCCTGTGTGGCACAAGGGGGAAGGGGAATGCTGATGCCGGAAAGTAAGTGGTGCGAGCAGACATGCCAGAAAGGCATGCTGAAGCAGATCACATGCTCCACCTTCGATAGAATGTCCATGTTGCACACCTGTGGGGCAGAATGAAGAGCGGGAGAGGGAAGGAAGGGAGATGGGGAAACGGGAGAGGGAAGATTTGCTGTTGATTCTCTAGAGCAGACAGACAGTCACCCGTAAGCAGATCAAATGCTCTATATTTGATAAGAGCCCATGTTCCACAGGGTAGGGGAATCACATGGGTGAAGGATGGTGCAGGTGAGAGGGAGAGGGTGACGAAAGTGAGGGGCTTTGGGGAGAGGGGCTATGGAATAGGAATGAGCGAGAGGTGGGTGAGCGACGCAGATCACATCACATCCACATTCCCCATGCTCGCCTCCCACAGGTCCCCCATGTGGCATGGGCTGTGCGCGGTTCTGAAAAACTTCTCCCCACAGCCTGTGTGCAGATGGGCGAGGCGATGCGATGTGGGAAGGGTTTATGTTGAAGCTGGAAGGAGAAAGTGGGCGGGGCAGCAGGCAATATCTGCTGCCTGGGAATGCAGTGCCATACCTGCTGGCTTCCAGTAGTGGCAGATGGTCGTTGTGAGGCTTCTCCACTAGGTTCTCCACCTGCCATAACATGGACAGCCAGTTGAGGGTGGGGAGGGAGAGAGTAGGAGAAAGAGGAGAGTGAGGGAGACGGAGAGAATTATGAAATGGATAACGGTCAGCAGCTCATCGATCGACCCTTAGTCCTCGACCTCCCTCTCACCTTCTCACCTTCTCATCTCCTTCACTCACCATCTTCAGCACCTACCCCTCCTCACGTGCACACCTTTTTTAGCAGCTCCTGGCCTTCAGGCGGCTGCTTGTCGAGGGACTGCAGCAGGATGATGGTGAGCAGCTCCTACCTCTCACCTTCGTCTCCCCTTCACTAAACCCTGAACCCTGTTCACCTTCTCGACTCACCTTCTTGAGCAGCTCCTGGCTTTCAGAAGGCTGCTTCCCCAGTGACTGCGGCAGGATGACGGTCAGCAGCTGCTACCTCTCAACTTCGTCCTCCCCACTTCGCCCTCCCCCAGACTCACCTTCTTCAGCAGCTCCTGGCTCTCGGGAGGCTGCTTGCCGAGCGACTGGGGCAGGATGACGGTGAGCAGCTCCGCCTTCTCCGCCCTTAGCGCCCCGCGGATCACTGCCGCGTTCGTGCCCGCTGCCCCCGACGTGTAGATGTGGTTGTTCTGCACGCAAGGTGAGGAAGAGGGGGACGGGGAAGGGGGGGACCAAGAAAAGTTGGGGGTGGAGAGGGGAGGGGGAAGGAGAGGGAGGGGGGAGATCAGCGAGGGGAAGAGGGTGGGAAGAAGAAGGAGGGAAAGAGGGAAGGGGGCGTTTATTGAGGGAGGATTGGAGGAGGGGACAGGGTTTATCCACCTGTCAGGGGAAGTGAGAAGAGGCGGAGTGGCGAGAAGGGGAGAGGGGAGAGGGGGATTGGGGAGAGTAAGAGCAGGGAGCGGGTTTTGATTATCACACAGCACAGAACAGGAGTCACCAGCCTCCATCTCACAGTGATGATAAATTCTGGAGATTCTCAAAAGCGACTCACAGTGATGATGATGGCATAGCTGAGGATCTTGATGAGCTGCTGATGCATGGAGCCCATGTTGCGCGTGCCAAAGAAACACTCGATACAGCCCCACTCAGTCTCAGATCACACATCGTGATATCATGGCATAGCCGAGGATCGGATTCAGCTGTTGGTGCACGAATCCCCTGCTGCCACAAAAATACCTGATACAGCCCCATTGATACCACACCAAACACAGCCCGCATCGCACTCACCGTAATAATCATAGCATAGCTGAGGATTTCAATCAGCTGTTGGTGCATGAAGCCCATGCTGCGCGTGCCAACACCCGATACAGCCCCTCCCACACATAGCACGCGTACCGCACACCGCACACAGCCCGCATCCCTCACTCACAGTAATAATCATGGCATAGCTGAGGATTTCAATCAGCTGCTGGTGCATGAAGCCCATGTTGCGCGTGCCAAAGAAGCCAATGTTCCGCGGCCCCGACTGCTGGATGGCCAGCAGCTCCTGCAGGTAGTCCACGTCAGGGGGGCTCCTCTGCGTCTCCGCCACCAGCGTCGTCGCCCCTGTAGTGATCGCCTCCAGCTGCGTAGGCAAGTCCTCCGTGAACATCCGAACCTCCATGCCCCTATCCATACCCCCCCCCTGCCGCATCTCCATGCCCCTCCCCTCCTGCATCGCTGCTAGTCTCCCCTCCAGCCTTCGCTCCAAATCCCTTCCCCCGGATGCATCTTCATCCGAAGCAGCTGCTCTCGAATTCGAGCCTCCTGCAGTGGTGGCGTGTGGTCTCACGGGTCGGGCAACCTGTGTACCATCAAAGGAACGACCGTGCCGCGGCTGCTGGCAGTGCAGCGACAGTCCGCGGAGAGGCAAGGAACGCCTTGGGAATGCCGAGCTACTCCAGCTGACGAGGGTCGCTCGGTGGTGATTGGTGATGGGTGAGAGTGGTGCCACGTGTCCGTTTGGGCGTGAGGTGCGCCTGGGAAAGCAAGGGGAATTGCAAAGATGGGGAGCGATTTGATTAGAGAAGGGTTATTGAATGAACTGGATATTCGGATGGCTTCTACGCGTGCGTGTGAGGTGAATCTGAGGATCGACAAGAGGGATTGGAGACCTGTGGATTGAAAAGAGGATCCCAGTGGTGAGTGAGCTGGATGATTGGCATTTTGAGACTTCATTGCAAAGGACAATTGGATGAGCTGCAGTGTTTTGCTATCACGGGTTTACTAGTAGGGTTGTGAGCTGCTTTCGACAGGGATATGACCCATTACTGGCAGTGCGCACTGGCTTGTTAATCAAAAGGCAGTGTGGAATACCATTCTGAGTCGACTCAAAAGTCATCTTGCTTTCGTCAGGGATATGATCCGTTACTGGCAGTGCGCACTGGCTTGTTAGTCAAGATGCATGGTGGAAGAACACGGCGGCTGGATCAGAAAGTTCTCGTGAATGAAATGGCTTGACGATGGGGACGAAAGCGGCAAAGCAGCACCAGAGGAACGGCGAGAATGCGACAGAATGAAAGGCGACGGCATGAAGGCAACAGCGTGAAGGAGACAGTATGTAAGAAACAGTTCTGTCGGCAACAGTTGACGGCGACGGGTAACGGTGGGGATCATGAAGATCAGAAGCGAGGAAAAGTAAAAAAAACGGAGCCACGACCAGAAGCAGAGCCATGATCATCAATATGACTGTGAAACGCTCGTCTTTACTGCCAGCACACCCACACCCAGCACGTACCTCACGCACCCAGCAGGAGCTGGCTTTGAGTCAACTCGAGAATCACCCAGCACGTACCCGACGCTGTGCAGATGCGTCGGGGAGGCGAACGCGGATGGTCGAATAGCCAACATCAGATCCGCCTTGAGTGTTAACGGCAAGGGTCCAGGAACCTTTTCTAGTACTTTCTGATAGGATATCCTAAACGTGCTCCAGAAATGCGTAAAAGAAGAATGGCTCGCACGGAACAAAGCTGTCGAGGCGCGCAGGATCTCAAAATAATTCAGAAGAAGCGGAGAGACAAGAATGCGATTCACGCCAGGTCGGCTGTAAGGAGATTATGCCTACCGACGAGCCTCCAAGCGAATATACTGCTTGAAAATACAATCATGTAAGAAAAACTGCAGTCGAATCTTGAGGCACAAGCTTAGAAGGAGACCAGTGTCCCGATCGAATCGCTAAGACGCTATGGAACTTGAATGAGACCAGGAATATGTGAGCAAGAACTAAAACCAAGGCTGGTCGAAAGATGCATGTTTGGCTGAAGCAATGCCTGGCCGGAAAACCTGGCTGCTCGGAGCAACGCTGGTTGCAAGCTAGGAGTTCCTGATCCGGGCAGCAGAAATGGCGGAATCAAAATGTTATATTGGCGAATAGAATCAAAGCGGTAATGAGAGAGCAGGAACGATGATTGGGTCACGTGGTAAGGAAGACATTTTCGATTGGTCAGTATAAGATTTTGTCCCCGACGAAAGGACACCTTTTGCCTCAGCGACTGTCCCTTTCGCGTCAGCGCCGATGCACCATTTTAGCTGAAAGAATAATGCTGTAATAACAGCACCCAGAAGCTTACAGTCTGTTACAAGTGCAATTGAGTGAACGAACGAGAATTGCACTATCGAAGCAAGAGTACAATGAGCGAAGGCATGAGCGAAGAATATATAGCGAAACTACAGTGGTAACGGTAATGGTCGCGCGACGAGCATGGGACTGAGGTTGGGAACTGTCAAAATGAGGAATGATAATGCCATTGATGTTGGTTGGGGTACATATAACAAACCCTAACTTCTGTACCCCCTAAGACAAACCTCACTACAGGCTACAACATTTGACACACCCCCATAGCCTAAGTGAGGGGTGTCTAGCAAAATAAAAAAAGAGTACGGTCACAAGACCAGTCCAAAAGAAAACAAAGCTCAGGGTGGATCACAACGTCACCACACTCTCTGAGCACAAGCAACAGTGGCCACAAGGCCAGTCCAAAAGATCACAAGTATATATAGCAAGTGTACAGACGAAGCAGGCAATAAACTAAAGCCTACACATGACTAGAACCTGTGTCAACAAGGCCTAACTGCACACAACACCTCTGGTGGTCACAAGGCGGAAGCGCCTTGGTGAAGATGTCTGCAGTGTTGGCCTCGGACTCCACAAACTCGAAGCGAGCCTGTCCACGTCTCTGCAACTCTCGCAGAAGAAAGTACCTGACGTGAATGTGCTTCACTCTGCTCTCCAGTCGCGGCTCACGACAGAGGAGGATCGACGCCTTGTTGTCAGTGAACAAGGTCGGTGCAGAGCTCGGCCGCTCACCAAGGTCGGCGAGCAAGAAGGTCAACCAACGCAACTCCTGTGCCGCCATGGCACCAGCGTAAATCTCAGCCTCACCTGTAGAGGTCGAGACAGAAGAGGAGCGCGTGGAACGCCAGGAAACAGCTCCAGAACCCAGACTGAAACAGTACCCCTGCGTAGACCTGTGAGTCTCAGCGTCGTCAGCGTAAGAGGAGTCACAGTGACCAGTGAGTACGACAGACTGCTGCCCTCCAAGAACTAGCCCCACGCCTGATGTAGTCGCTAGGTACTTCGCCACCCTCACAGCTGCCGTCCAGTGAACAGGACGGTGTCTCCCTGGCGCAACAAAGCGCGCAAGGATGCTGAGAGGGAAGGCGAGGTCCGGGCGAGTACAAGTCATCAGGTACATGAGGCAACCCACAAGCTCTGCGTAGGGACCACTAGGCTCAAACGGCTCGTCAGGAAAGGGACCAGTGAGTCTGTGGTCAACAGCGAGAGGTGTGCGCTGTACGGTGGAGTGCTGAAGCCCGAACCGCTGAAGGACCTGCTGCACCATGTGTGACTGTGAGAGTGTAATGGTGCGAGCGGCTCTGTCCCTGGTGATCTGCAGGCCAAGGTAGTGGCGCAGCTCACCAAGATCAGTGCACGTGTGTCTCTTCTGCAGTTCGGACTTCACGTCTGCCAAAGCAACCCTGTCCGGAGTGGCGAAAACGAGGTCGTCGACGTAAACCAGAACAAAGAACGGTGTGGAGCCACGACGAACGAACAGCGACGGGTCGGCAGAAGACGGCTGGAACCCAAGGTCAGAGAGGGTAGAACGCAGAGTGTCGTGCCACTCACGAGGGGCCTGGCGAAGACCGTAAACAGGTCGCCTCACCCTCCACTGGGTCCCAGGAGGGAAGGTGCCAGTGAAGGCCGAGGGACGACGCAACCAGACCTCCTCGTGTAGGCTGCCCTGAAGGAAAGCAGTGGAGAAGTCGAGAGAGTGTAACTCGTAGTCTCTCTGTGCTGCTACGTGTAGTAACACCCGAAGAGTGGTCATCTTCGGGGTAGGTGCGAAGGTCTGAAAGAAGTCAACTCCCTCGCGCTGACTGAAACCTCTAGCCACGTAGCGCGCCTTGAAGACCGGGGGAGATCCCGGTGGCCGCTTCACCCTGTAGATCCACATGCCGTCGACTACGTTCGCCCCAAGGGGGGGGAACCTCATCGACGTAGGTGCCTGTGGATCTGTAGGAGGCCATCTCTGCGTCCATGGCAGCTCTCCACTGAGAGGCCCAAGGCCCTGACACTGCCTCAGCGTAAGTGCGAGGAGTCGGAATGTCAAGGGCGTCGGGGTCACCCTCAGGGGCGAGGAGCATGGCACAGAGATGAGGGGAAGCGGCCGCCAGGAACTCTAGCTCAAACTGCCTGTCCTCTAGGACGTCACAGCCAAGGGCAGACACACCCCCGATGGCCAGAGGACTGGTAGGAGGAGCAGCCACAAGCGTGGTGGCGTAGTCAAGGCGGCGGGTAGAGGCAAAGTTAGTAACTGCGGCAGTAAGAGCGGACACATAGGACACAGAGGCACGAGGGTGAGTAACAAGAGAGGCGAGAACACGAGAGAGAACAGGACGGTACGTGCGGTAGTAGTCAGTGACAGGAGTAGGGAGCGACACAGTGAGGGCCGACTCAGGAGGAGACGGAAGCACAGACTGAGACGGACGAGGTGGACTAGAAAGAAGGAAGGCAGTACGAAGGTCAGTGAAGGGAACAGGAGACGAGGGACGAGCACGAGGGGAGCGACGAGTAGCCCAAGAACGAGACGGAGGAGGAGAGGACAAAGGCGGAGAACTGGGGAAAACAGCGGGGGAGGAGTCAGGAGGAGGAAACGTGGGACCGTAGACAGGAGGAGAGGCGGAGGAGGGAGGAGAAGGGGAGGGGAGACCAAGGGTTCGAAGACCCGAGACAGGAGGAGGAAGTGGCTGCTGCTGCTGCTGCTGCGTCTGCTGCTGCTGCGGAAGCGGCTGCTGCTGGGAATGCTGCTCCTGCGGGTCCAGCTGCTGCTGCTGCTGCTGCTGCTGCTCCTGCGGCTCCAGCTGCTGCTGCTGCTCCTCCAGCCGCTGTAACTCCCTCTCCTCTCTCTCCAACGCCAGCTGCTCGTCACGGGCACGGCGAACACGAGCCTGGTGCCTAGTCGGGTAGGGGTGGGGGGGCGGAGTAGTGTCCGAAGCAGCGGTAGCTCCAGAGTCCACCCCCGAAGAACCAGGAGCACCACCCCCAGAGGCAGCACTAACACCAGCTCTAGACCCAGGCTCACCAGAACCCGAAGGAGGCGCACTCTCACCCCCAGTGTCCGCGCGACCAGCACCAGCTCCCGGACGACAAGAGTCCTCTGCACCCACCGGGTCAGCTCCAACTCCAGAACCAGAAACTCCAGCTCCAACTCCAGCTCCAACCCCTGCACCCCCAGAACCAGAAACTCCAGTGCCAACTCCAGCTCCAACTCCAGCTCCAACTCCAGCTCCAACTCCACCACCCCCAGAACCAGAAACCGGTACAGGAACAGGCGCAGCACCAACCTTTCGAGAGCTAGCACCTGCGGCACGCTGCGAGGAGGACTGTGGGGAGGGAGGCTGTACCGGAGAGGCTACCGAAGGAGGAGGGGTAGCCTGGGACACACCCGACGGGGCTGGACCAGGGGGGGGAGGCTGTACCGGGGGAACAGGAGGGGGAGCGGCAGTCAGGAAGAGGGGGGGAGGAGGAACCTGGAGACCTCGACTGGGGTACCTGACGTAGTACGGAGTGGACTCCTCGAAACGGACGTCACGGGAGTCAAAGAACCGATGAGAGGGAGGGTGGTAAAAGGTGAAGTCAGAGGAGTCCTCAGGGAAACCAAGGAAGACACAGGGGACGGCACGAGGCGAGAGCTTGTCCGCGGAGGTGTCGCGGACAAGAGCCAAGCACCCCCAGACACGAAACCGCGACGCAACACCAGGGGACCCTGTCCAAAGACTGGTCGGTGAAACCTCTGGTCGAGAGACACGTGGCCAGAGGTTCAGCTGGTGCGCGGCGTACCTGACCGCGTAGGGCCACAGAAAATGGGGGGCACAGGCGTGAGTCAGGGAGGTGCGGGCGATCTCCATGACCAGGCCTATGCGGCGCTCAGCAACCCCATTCTGCTGTGGGGACTCTGGAAGCGTCCAGGACTGACGAATGCCCTGCTCGCGACAGAATCCAGCGAGAATGCCGGAGCGAAACTCACCCCCACGGTCGGAGTGGAGGCAGCTGACACGACGACCACGAGTGTCCTCGGTGGTGAGCAACCACCTGATCAGCGTAGAAGTCACCTCAGACTTCTTCGCCAGAGGGAAGCACTGTGGTGTAGCGGGAGAAGTCGTCAACAACCACCAGAAAGTAGCGCTCACGCTCAGGGCCTAGACGAGGGGCGGGGCCCCAGACGTCCAAGTGAAGCGTCTCAAAAGGCTCGGTGGCCGGACGAAGGGAGGAGGAGTGAGGGGCGGCGCGCAGCCGACCCTCGACGCAGGGACCACACGGCGGCGCAAGCGAAGGCGGAAACGACGGCAAG